CACTATGTCTTTGTATGATGGAGTGTTAACAGGACCATTCACCGAAGACACCTGAGCTCCATCATTTGGAGGAGGTTCACCTCATTTTGGCCATATAGCATATTTCGGCTCATGAGGCGTTGGATCAGATTGCACAGACTTCGGCATAAATCACACAAGAGGGATCCCCGGTTTTTCCCATCAGGCGCAAAAAATGCACCAAAGCCATATATAACTGATCTTGTACTGTATAAATTTTTCAAAACTTTCATTTACGAATACATTGACCAAAATCTGCCATACTTCCCCTTTAAAGGTGGTGGTGTAGATCGAGGGCCAGGCTGAGGGGCGGGTTGAAGAGGTGGCCACCTTGTACACCAAATAAGATGGGTACAAAAAAGGCACGACCGCCCAACCTATGCAATTCCCACCTCCTGTGGGGGACACCTTGAACTTTTCACCTTGGGTGCTGAAGGACCTTATCCTGACATTTTTATGGCTCCATCAACTGACTGAAGGACCATATGTGGATATCAGAAGTCCCCTGCGCCTGTCAGTACATAAAACTTTTTTCTTCAACCCTCGTTAACCACGTAAACGTCTGTGCGTCCTAATCCAACAGCGCAAAGGGTTAAGGTAGGCGCCCTTCCAGTCTGCTGTAGGACATGGAGAGGGACACAATCACGGATCAGCTGCCCTCAGCGGGGTCATACAAGGACGCACATTGTGAGCCGCAGAGAAAGAAAAAAGAGGAACGGGGCCAGGTGAGGGAAATAATTAACTCCAGAGGTCGAGGCCTGCGCCACGTTCTCTTCTCGAACGCCAGATGGAGAACGCGGCTCTAGAACATTCTGGAACAGATGTTGTCCCCTTCACCCTCCTTCTCAAAAATTCCCAGAATTACCTCAATGTGCCTTCGATCTCTCGCTCAACTGAACGTTTAAAGGACCACAACACAGCTCCGCGAATCAGAGCCGGGCCAGTCACACAGGAAATCTTGGCTTTTAAAGAGGACCAGTCATCTGTTGTTGCTGCTGAACCGCAGGATGTCTTTAGAGTGCACAATTGTAGCATCACACAGAGACAGGTCTGCCCTGGAACTAGCACCATTTCTGGGAGTTGGGCAATGTCCACCACCAGAGATGGATGGATCCTTGCAGGATGTGGCTCTGTTCTTCTAGTTGACTCTACTAGTCTCGCCATCTTCGCTCTTTTTAGCGGTTATTGAACCTGGAGGCCAGAAGGTCCGATTCCAGCATCCCCCACCAGTGACACAGGTCCTTAAACATCTCAGGGTGTAGGGACCACTTCCCCAGTCCAGCCACTGCCAGCTGAGGTCTGCTTGCCATCGTCTACACCTGGGATGTACACCGTGAACAAGGCTGGAACGTGAAGTTCTGCCAAGGACAGGATCCAATTGATTCGGCGAGATTTCTAGTTCTGCTCTGATGGTTGATGTATTGCCAACCCCATGGCGTTGTCCTGTTCAGGTAACCTTCCAGCAGGATGGTCCAATGCTGGAGATTCAGTCAAAGTTCCAGAATGTGGACCGGGAGAGGAGACTACCCCAACGATCAAATCTCCTGCAAGCCCAGGGAGTACAGGACTTCTCCCAGGTCAAGAAGGAGGCTTCCCCGATTCCAGAGCCAACAAGCTATGGACAACTTGGCCTTTTATACCAAAAAAGCAGTCTGCCCAGGGACCTGACTTGTCCCATGATGACAGAATGTTTCATTATCAAGAGATGGAGCGGAACTGGTCAAAACAAGCGCATCGAAGGTACCATCAGACCCGTGACATACATGAAAAAGTAGACAGTCGGGTGACTTCTGGACTGGAGCGTTTGAATCGAAGGTCGGAGAGTATGGCGTTTTTCCCCTGAGCGGTGTAAAGGACTATACGCTGCCAGCTGAGGTCTACCTTCATAGTCAAACCAATGAGAAGGTTCCAACAACCTATTCTGAGGGTTCAGGATCCACCTGAATCGCTGTAACATCTGGAAAATCAAAACCACAGAGCCTGCACCGACTGTTCCCTCAACAGAAGACCATCCAAGTGTCCCACAATAGGGATGCCATGAGAGAGCAGAATGGCCAATACTGGAGCACCTTGGTGAACACCCCGGGGTGCTGAGGAGAAGCTAAATAGCAGGGCCACAAACTAGTAGCACAGGGGTCCCACAGCAAAACAGAAAAGGCTGAGGTATCGGAAAACATGGGACATGTCCAAGGTATGTTCTTTATGACCACAAAAGCCAGAACATTTCCATGAAGGAAGAAGAGTGTATGGATTCCATGCAGATCTGGGTTCAAATGAAGACATTCAGGGCTTTAAGAAAGGGTTAGGAAACGGTGAACTGGTTGACGTACGATCCTTGAACCTGTTCTACCACAGGAACTAAGGCAACGACACCCTGGTCAACAAGGTCTCCATAGGGCCCACTGGAGATCTGCGAGGAGACACAGGAAAGGTGAGGGGCAGAGGAGTCTGGTGGATTCCATGCAGATCTGGGTTCAAATGAAGACATTCAGGGCTTTAAGAAAGGGTTAGGAAACGGTGAACTGGTTGACGTACGATCCTTGAACCTGTTCTACCATAGAAACTAAGGCAACGACACCCTGGTCAACAAGGTCTCAAGAGGGCCCACTGGAGATCTGCGAGGAGACACAGGAAAGGTGAGGGAAAGAGGAGTCTGGTGGATTCCATGCAGATCTGGGTTCAAATGAAGACATTCAGGGCTTTAAGAAAGGGTTAGGAAACGGTGAACTGGTTGACGTACGATCCTTGAACCTGTTCTACCACAGGAACTAAGGCAACGACACCCTGGTCAACAAGGTCTCCATAGGGCCCACTGGAGATCTGCGAGGAGACACAGGAAAGGTGAGGGGCAGAGGAGTCTGGTGGATTCCATGCAGATCTGGGTTCAAATGAAGACATTCAGGGCTTTAAGAAAGGGTTAGGAAACGGTGAAACTGGTTGACATACGATCCTTGAACCTGTTCTACCACAGGAACTAAGGCAACAACACCCTGGTCAACAAGGTCTCCATAGGGCCCACTGGAGATCTGCGAGGAGACACAGGAAAGGTGAGGGAAAGAGGAGTCTGGTGGATTCCATGCAGATCTTCTGGGTTCAAATGAAGACGTTCAGGGCTTTAAGAAAGGAAACGGTGAACTGGTTGACTTACGATCCTTGAACCTGATCTACCCCAGGAACCAGGGCAACGACACCCTGGTCAACAAGGTCTCAATAGGGCCCTCTGGAGATCTGCGAGGAGACACAGGAAAGGTGAGGGAAATAGGAGTCTGGTGGATTCCATGCAGATCTTCTGGGTTCAAATGAAGACGTTCAGGGCTTTAAGAAAGGAAACGGTGAACTGGTTGACGTACGATCCTTGAACCTGATCTACCCCAGGAACCAGGGCAACGACACCCTGGTCAACAAGGGTCTCAATAGGGCCCTCTGGAGATCTGCAAATCCGTGAGGAGACACAGGAAAGGTGACGGGAAGAGGAGGGAGCGAAACTCCACTTGGACTGGTAGCCAAGCTTGGGGGGGGGTCTCAATGAGGAAGTCCAGTCAGTGAGGAGGAATGAAGGCATTGCCGTCAGTTCTTTGGGGTTCCTTCTTCTGTAGGCAAGTCCTCACGCATCGCTCTTTATATGGCGGCGATACAAGAACTGCTCCCGCCTCCTCCTCTCACCCTATTGGCTGGCCAACTCTTCATTCTTGACAGTCCTCAGCACCGAGTTATGACCCCTCCCCCTTTTCCTCTGTGCTTCAGGTACACCATAAAAACCGTGTGAACCCCAGAGGTCACACCCCTAACAATGCAGGCAGTGGAGGATGGGGCCCCCAGAGGTCACACCCCTAACAATGCAGCCAGGAAAGGAAGGCCCCCTAGAGGTCGCATCCCTAACAATGCAGGCAGTGGAAGGGCCCCCCCCAGAGGTCGCACCCCTAACTGTGCAGGCAGTGGAGAAAGGGCCCCCCCAGAGGTCGCACCCCTAACTGTGCAGGCAGTGGAGGAAAGGGCCCCCCCCCTAGAGTGCAGGCAGTCGCACCCCCCCAGAACGCACCCCTAACTGTGCAGGCAGTGGAGGAAGGGCCCCCCCCAGGTCACACCCCTAACAATGCAGGCAGCGGAGGAAGGGCCCCCCAAAGGTCGCACCCCTAACTGTGGAGGAAGGGCCCCCCCAGCAGAGGTCGCACCCCCTAACTGTGCAGGCAGTGGAGGAAGGGCCCCCCAGAGGTCACACCCCTAACAGTGCAAGCAGTGGAGGAAGGGCCCCCCCAGAGGTCGCACCCCTAACTGTGCAGGCAGTGGAGGAAGGGGCCCCTAGAGATCACGCCCCCAGAGGTCACACCCAACCCTGTGCAGGCAGTGGAGGATGGGGCCCCTAGAGGTCACGTCCCCAGACGTCACACCGCTAACTGTGCAGGCAGTGGAGGATGGGGGGCCCCGCTAACTGTGCAGGGAGTGGAGGATGGGGCCCCTAAAGGTCACTCCTAAAAAATGCAGGCAGTGGAGGATGGGGCCCCTAGAGGTCACACCCATTGCCACCCCCCCCTGTCTTCTTACACCAATCACATCTACTCCCGCCTCTCTCCCTCAACAGAACCCGTCCAATCACAACAAGCGGCCATCTTTGACGATGCGGTGGCCGGGCGCAGGAAGGGGCCCCGGGGTGTCGGGTATCACAAACCATTTATTGTGTTTTAAAATATTTTCACTTTCTTTAAAAAAAAAGAAAAAAAAAAAAAAAAGAAAATGTGTACACAGAGGAGGCGGAGTCACGCCGCCGCCGCACGCGGTTTATATACAGTCCAGTAAGAAAATAAGAGATTTCTATAAATGGCCCGCCTCCGGCGCAGAGGAGGCGTCGTCCTGTCTGCGGGGGGTGGGGTAAGAGGAAAAATGGCCGACAGCTATTTGATGTCATCAAGGAGTCTGAGGGAAGCATCGACCGGCCAATCGCAGCGCTGAACAGTTCATCAGCATCCACTGGGTGGGCGGGGCTATCAGTCGCTGTCCGATCCCACCGCCGCGGAGCCCTTCCTCTTCCGCTTGCTGGGCTTTGGCTTCGCGTCTTCCTCTTCCTGCGAAGAAAATGGGAAATGGCGTTCGTTATTCCCGGCGGCGAATGTCCTGACTCCGCCTCTGCACCGCCCCAATGTCCTGACTCCGCCCACCACCCCAATACAACCTAACCCAAAACAATGGAGCTTTTGCCTTGACATCCCTTGTTTATGCCCCGCCCACCAGAACAGGTGACCCCCCGCCCATTAGAACAGGTGACCCCCCACCCATTAGAACAGGTGACCCCCCCCCCCACCAGAACAGGTGACCCCGCCCATTAGAACAGGTGACCCTGCCCATTAGAACAGGTGACCCTGCCCATTAGAACAGGTGACCCCGCCCATTAGAACAGGTGACCCCCGCCCATTAGAACAGGTGGTGACCCCTGCCCATTAGAACAGGTGACCCCCCGCCCACCGCCTGTCAAGATGCTCACCGAGGCGCTGCTGGACGCAGACTCCTCCTCCGTGTTGGTTGGCTGCGCCGTGGTCTTCCTGCTGCGTGGGCTGGTCATGGGCCCTTTCCGCCGGCTCTTTGGCGCCTTTGTCGAATCTTCGTACTCCTCCGCCAGCGAGAAAAGATCGCTGAACCTGACAGATGGAACACACAATGTAATTGAGGTCACAGCGCCACCTGCTGCCGAAACAGGTACTACAGCTGAGAGGTTGCCATTGCAGTGGGTGGACAGAGGGCCACAGTGCCACCTCCTGGCATAAGAGGGGTACTACACCTCAGAGGTATCCATTACATTGGGTGGGCAAGTGGGGGCACAGAGCCACCTGCTGCTGAAACAGAGGTACTACACCTCAGAGGTGGCCATCACAGTGAGTGGACAGCTGAGGGACACAGCGCCACCTCCTGACAAAAGAGAGGTACTACACCTCAGGTGACCATTACAGTGGGTGGCCAAATGCAGCACAGAGCCACCTCCTGGCACAGGAGAGGTATTACACCTCAGAGGTGACCATTACAGGGGGTGGACAGATAAGGGTCACAGCGCCACCTCCTGGCATAGGAGAGGTATTACACCCTCAGAGGTGACCATTACAGTGGGTGGACAGAGGGTCACAGCGCCACCTCCTGGCATAGGAGAGGTATTACACCTCAGAGGTATCCATTACAGTGGGTGGACAGAGGGTCACAGCACCACCTCCTGGCATAGGGGAGGTACTACACCTCAGAGGTGACCATTACAGTGGGTGGACAGAGGGTCACAGTGCCACCTCCTGGCATAGGAGAGGTACTACACCTCAGAGGTATCCATTACAGATGGTGGACAGACGACACAGAGCCACCTCCTGGCATAGGAGAGGTACTTACACCTCAGAGGTGACCATTACAGATGGTGGACAGAGGGTCACAGCACCACCTCCTGGCATAGGAGAGGTACTACACCTCAGAGGTGACCATTACAGTGGGTGGGACAGACGACACAGAGCCACCTCCTGGCATAGGAGAGGTACTACACCTCAGAGGTATCCATTACAGTGGGTGGACAGAGGGTCACAGTGCCACCTCCTGGCATAGGAGAGGTACTACACCTCAGAGGTATCCATTACAGATGGGTGGACAGAGGGTCACAGTGCCACCTGGCTGGCATAGGAGAGGTACTACACCTCAGAGGTATACCATTACAGTGGGTGGACAGAGGGTCACAGCACCACCTCCTGGCATAGGGGAGGTATTACACCTCAGAGGTGACCATTACAGTGGGTGGACCGAGGGTCACAGTGCCACCTCCTGGCATAGGAGAGGTATTACACCTCAGAGGTGACCATTACAGTGGGTGGACAGAGGGTCACAGTGCCACCTCCTGGCATAGGAGAGGTATTACACCTCAGAGGTGACCATTACAGATGGGTGGACAGACGAGGACACAGAGCCACCTCCTGGCATAGGAGAGGTACTACACCTCAGAGGTGACCATTACAGATGGTGGACAGACGAGGACACAGTGCCACCTCCTGGCATAGGAGAGGTATTACACCTCAGAGGTGACCATTACAGATGGTGGACAGACGAGGACACAGAGCCACCTCCTGGCATAGGAGAGGTACTACACCTCAGAGGTGACCATTACAGCGGTGGACAGAGGGTCACAGTGCCACCTCCTGGCATAGGAGAGGTATTACACCTCAGAGGTGACCATTACAGTGGGTGGACAGAGGGTCACAGTGCCACCTCCTGGCATAGGAGAGGTATTACACCTCAGAGGTGACCATTACAGATGGTGGACAGAGGGTCACAGCACCACCTCCTGGCATAGGAGAGGTACTACACCTCAGAGGTGACCATTACAGCGGGTGGACAGAGGGTCACAGTGCCACCTCCTGGCATAGGGGAGGTACTACACCTCAGAGGTATCCATTACAGATGGTGGACAGAGGGTCACAGTGCCACCTCCTGGCATAGGAGAGGTATTACACCTCAGAGGTGACCATTTACAGTGGGTGGACAGAGGGTCACAGTGCCACCTCCTGGCATAGGAGAGGTACTACACCTCAAAGGTATACATTACAGGGGGTGGACAGAGGGTCACAGCACCACCTCCTGGCATAGGAGAGGGTATTACACCTCAGAGGTGACCATTACAGGGGGTGGACAGAGGGTCACAGCGCCACCTCCTGGTATAGGGAGAGGTATGTACACCTCAGAGGTGACCATTACAATGGGTGGACAGACGAGGACACAGAGCGCCACCCCTCCTTGCAGAGACGAGTTACTACACCCATTGCAGCTCTACAGAAACCCGACACATTCACAGAACCAAATCACCTGCCAGACTTAAGTCTTGCCCAACCTCTTGTAACCTCCCCTGGAGGGTGACACCACCATTCAGAGTCTGCAGCACTGGTCAATCAGCCCCACCATTCTGCTTTTTTGCACTATTACTGTAGTAGACCCCATTGGTGAGCCCCCCGAGCCCCCCCGCTGACATCCCACCGAAGCACTCATCCAAGTAGTGACTCTCACTGCAAGCCTGATTTCCGCATGCAGGTGGTGTATATTAAGCAGCCACATAAGGTCCTCCCATTTCTGTGTGACGCCCCCTAATGGTCGGGTCTCTGATACCAAAGGTGTTAATCCAGATGTTACTATTCCACTTCATATAATAACTGATGTCTGACCCAGGAGAAGTGTGACGTCCCAGCATGCACTGGGGGCTCTGCATGAATATCCATGCTAATGGGGGGAGGGGTGAACACATAGTTTGGGGGGGGGGGGCAGGGTACGTGACATGAGATCTTCCCATCCTTACTTCATCTTATGTGCCTCATCACAGCTGGCCTGGACGTGCTGGAGGAGCCTGCAGGATCGGCGTCTGGCTGAAAACTGAACAACAACAATATTCATTATACCGGAGGAACCCGGAACTCTTCATACTGTACAGAATACTGACACTGGGGGGGGAAGGATGTACGGCTGGGGGGAGGGGGTGGGATGTACGGCTGGGGGGGGGGGGGAGGGATGTACGGCTGGGGGGGGGGAATGTACGGCTGGGATGTACGGCTGGGGGGGGAGGATGTACGGCTGGGGGGAGGGATGTACGGCTGGGGGGGAGGGATGTACGGCTGGGGGGGGAGGGGGAGGATGTACGGCTGGGGGGAGGGGGAGGGGGAGGTATGTACGGCTGGGGGGAGGGGGGATGTACGGGGGAGGGATGTACGGCTGGGGGGGGGGGGGGGGGAAGGTATGTACGGCTGGGGGGGGGGATGTACGGCTGGGGGGGAAGGTATGTACGGCTGGGGGGGGAAGGATGTACGGCTGGGGGGGAGGGGGGGGTATGTACTACGGCTGGGGGGGGATGTACGGGGGGGGAAGGATGTACGGCTGGGGGGAGGGATGTACGGCTGGGGGGGAAGGATGTACGGCTGGGGGGGAGGGGGAGGATGTACTGGGGGGGGGAAGGATGTACGGCTGGGGGGGGAAGGATGTACGGCTGGGGGGGAAGGATGTACGGCTGGGGGGGGGGAAGGATGTACGGCTGGGGGGGGGGTATGTACTGCTGGGGGGGGAGGGGGGGGGGGAAGTATGTACTGCTGGGGGGGGGATGGGGGGGGGAGGGATGTACTGCTGGGGGGGGGGTACGGGGGGGGTATGTACTGCTGGGGGGGGGAGGGGGAGGTAGGGGGGGGGGTATGTACTGCCGGGGGGGGGGGGGGGGTATGTACTGCTGGGGGGGGGGGGGGGGAGGATATTGTACGGCTGGGGGGGGGGGGGTATGTACTGCTGGGGGGGGGGGGGGGGAGGTATGTACTGGGGGGGGTATGTACTGCCAGGGGGGGGAGGGGGAGGTATGTACTGCCGGGGGGGGGAGGTATGTACTGCCGGGGGGGGAGGTATGTACTGCTGGGGGGGGAGGTATGTACTGCCGGGGGGGGGAGGGGGAAGGTATGTACTGCCGGGGGGGGAGGGGGGAGGTATGTACTGGTATGTACTGCCGGGGGGGGGGGGGGGGGGGGGAGGTATGTACTGCCGGGGGGGGGGGGGGGGGCTGGGGGGGAGGTAGTACTGTACTGGGGGGGGGGGGGGGCCGGGGGGGGAGGGGGAGGTATGTACTGCCGGGGGGGGGGGGGGGGGGAGGTATGTACTGCCGGGGGGGGGGGGGAGGTATGTACTGCCGGGGGGGGGAGGGGGAGGTATGTACTGCCGGGGGGGGGGGGGGTATGTACTTGGGGGGGGGAGGTATGTACTGCCGGGGGGGGGGGGGGGGGGAGGTATGTACTGCCGGGGGGGGAGGGGGGGGGTGGGAGGTATGTACTGCCGGGGGGGGGGGGGGAGGTATGTACTGCCGGGGGGGGGGGGGGGGGGAGGTATGTACTGCCGGGGGGGGAGGGGGAGGTATGTACTGCCGGGGGGGGGGGGGGGAGGTATGTACTGCCGGGGGGGGGGGGGGGGGAGGTATGTACTGCCGGGGGGGGGGGGGGGGGGGAGGTATGTACTGCCGGGGGGGGGGAGGGGGGAGGTATGTACTGCCGGGGGGGGGGAGGGGGAGGTATGTACTGCCGGGGGGGGGGCAGGCGGGGAGGTATGTACTGCCGGGGGGGGGGGGGGGGCCGGGGTATGTACTGCCGGGGGGGGGGGGGGGGAGGTATGTACTGCCGGGGGGGGGGAGGGGGGAGGTATGTACTGCCGGGGGGGGGGGGGGGGGGGGGGGTATGTACTGCCGGGGGGGGGGAGGGGGGAGGTATGTACTGCCGGGGGGGGGGAGGGGGGAGGTATGTACTGCCGGGGGGGGAGGGGGAGGTATGTACTGCCGGGGGGGGGGGAGGTATGTACTGCCGGGGGGGGGAGGGGGGAGGTATGTACTGCCGGGGGGGGGGGGTGGGAGGGGGGGGGAGGTATGTACTGCCGGGGGGGGGGGGGGAGGGGGGAGGTATGTACTGCCGGGGGGGGGAGGGGGGAGGTATGTACTGCCGGGGGGGGAGGGGGGGGGTAGGTATGTACTGCCGGGGGGGGGGGGGGAGGTATGTACTGCCGGGGGGGGGGAGGGGGGGGAGGTATGTACTGCCGGGGGGGGGGGGGGGGGGGGGAGGTATGTACTGCCGGGGGGGGGGAGGGGGGAGGTATGTACTGCCGGGGGGGGGGGGAGGGGGGAGGTATGTACTGCCGGGGGGGGGGAGGGGGAGGTATGTACTGCCGGGGGGGGGGAGGGGGGAGGTATGTACTGCCGGGGGGGGGGAGGGGGGGTAGGTATGTACTGCCGGGGGGGGAGGGGGAGGTATGTACTGCCGGGGGGGGGGGAGGGGGGGGGAGGTATGTTACTGCCGGGGGGGGGGGACCAGGGGGGGGTAGGTAGTACTGCGGGGGGGGGGGGAGGGGGGAGGTATGTACTGCCGGGGGGGGGGGAGGGGGGAGGTATGTACTGCCGGGGGGAGGGAGGGTGGATTTGGTGAGGTGAGCCTATACTGCTGGGTGGGGGGGGAGGGGGGGGGGGGAGCTTTGCTGCACTGACAAAGGAGGTACAAGATCATGGAAAAGTACCGATGTGTCTGCAGTGACCCAATCTGGTCACTAGAGGGAAGCAGAGCTCTACGCCAGGCAGGGGAGATGATTGGACGCGATAACGGTTCTGTCTAGCTGCGGCTTTTCGGAGCGACAACAGAATTACAGAGCTATACATAGATGGGAGGAGGAACTTCGGGGTCCAGCCGGATGATAAGCAGACAGGACTGCCATAGAAGGAATAGAGGGAGATGGATTTGGGGGTGCTGCCACAGGAGGAGAGGGAGACCGGAGGGGAAGAGGAGGGAGACTGCCATAGGAGGAGGGAGACCGGTGGGGACGAGGGGAGACCGGTGGGGACGAGGGAGACCGGTGGGGACGAGGGAGACCGGTGGGGACGAGGGAGATCGGTGGGGAGGAGGGAGACCGCGAGGAGGGAGGGACCGCGAGGAGGGGACGCGAGGAGGGAGACCGCGAGGAGGGAGACCGCGCGAGGGAGAGGGAGGAGGGAGGTGACCGGAGGAGGGGGGAGGGGAGCGAGGAGGGAGACCGCGAGGAGGGAGACCGCGAGGAGGGAGGGACCGCGAGGAGGGAGACCGCGAGGAGGGAGACCGCCATAGGAGGAGGGAGACCGCCATAGGAGGAGGGAGACCGCCATAGGAGGAGGGAGACCGCCATAGGAGGAGGGAGACCGCCATAGGAGGAGGGAGACCGCCATAGGAGGAGGAGGAGGAGGGAGACCGCCATAGGAGGAGGGAGACCGCCATAGGAGGAGGGAGACCAGTGGGGACGAGGGAGACTGCTATAGGAGGAGGGGGGGGGGGGGGTATCTGTGTGACCCCAACACACAATTAGACCAGCAGAAGTTCTTGCACTGCCCCTGCTCTGTAGGTATCCGGTCCGCCCATACACCGACTCATGCTGGCCGGTGGCCTTCATGGAACGCTGGGTTGCGTGGTAAAGTCTCCACAAATGAATGGGGGCCACATCACCGGGAGGGATCTGGAGGTGGAGCCAGGAACTGGCCTGTGTTTGTGTAATTGGTTATGGAGATGGGGAAAGGGCGGGGCTGGCTAAAGAAGGCGGAGAGATGAGGAGATATAGGAGGATCCAGGAGGGAGGTATGCTGTATCTGGTGACCTGATTGGTGCAGGGTGGGGGATGGGGTACTCACAGTTCTGTTTGGTATTGGACAAGTTGAGTCTCAGGTTATCCAGATGTTCCAGGATCTGCTCCAACGTCAACTGCGCCAACTTGCTGCTGGAACTCCGCAGGCTGCCAACACAAGAGAGACGACACCGGTCATACATGTCCCTTGCATACAATCGCCCCCTAACACATGACGACTGTGAAATCCAACATGCTGGCCTTCTAATGAAGTTCCCAATCAGAGCCACCCAGACCTCGTCCGCCCAATCAGAAGATGTTCATTGAGGTTCCTTGAAGGACACAGCTGGATCTTCAGATCATACCAGATGGTGAGAAGATCCTCTCCCTTTCTGTGTCAGTTTCATTTTTGGGGCTGCTTCCCATTCGATGTTCTCTGCTTCCCAATATGAGTCCCCTGGACCCTGGAGGCCTCTAATGAAGCACAAAACGTGGGCCATAGGGGTGCTGCTGTCCTCGGAGCCTACTTTTGACTTTGCCATGTCTTGATGGTCATGGAGAGTGTCCTGCATGGTGAAGGACTTGTCCCTGGAAGCCCTCGATTAACCACCTCCTGGCATCTGAGTCCATAACTTAAGACCAAGGCCTTTCTTATCCCCCCAGGGGAGTTAGTTGGCACATTCGGTTTCAGCTCCTATTAGGTTGTTTGGTGGGCCTCTTTCACTCAGATTAACGGATTTCCTTCTCTTGTGGGACCCATTGGTTGGGACAGCAGAAGGTACTGGAAGTTTGCCTTATCTGATCCAAGCATCTACCTGGGTGCCACACCATCCGTAACTGGACATTTATGTGGTCTGCTCCCCAATAGGAATCCTCTGATCCTGGAGGCCTCTGTTCCAGACAAGAATGTGGGCCAGGGAGCATCGGTGTCCTCAGGGTCCCCTTTTGACTTTGCCGTGTCTTGACGGTCATGGAGGGTGTGGCACCCAGGTAGATGCTCAGACCTGACATGAGAAGGCCATGAAAACGAAGGACGTGAGCCAAGGGGTGTCGGTGTCCTTGAGGCCCCCTTTTGACTCTGCCATGTCTTGCTGATCATAGAGGGTGTGGCACCCAAGTAGATGCTCATACCTGACATGGGAAGGCCCTGGAAACTAATGAAGTGAGCCAAGGGGTGTTTGCAAAGTCAAAAGGGGGCCTCAAGGACACCAACACCCCTTGGCTCACGTCCTTAGTTTCCAGGGCCTTCCCATGTCAGGTCTGAGCATCTACCTGGGTGCCACACCCTCCATGATCGTCAAGACATGGCAAAGTCAAAAGGGGGGCCTCAAGGACACCATGTCCTGACGATCATGGAGGGTGTGGCACCCAGGTAGATGCTCAGACATGACATGGGAAGGCCCTGGAAACTAAGGACGTGAGCCAAGGGGTGTCGGTGTCCTTCAGGCCCCCATTTGATTTTGCCATATCTTGACGGTCATGGAGGGTGTGGCACCCAGGTAGGTGCTCAGACATGACATGGGAAGGCCATGAAACTAAGGACGTGAGTCAAGGGGTGTCGGTGTCCTTGAGGCCCCCATTTGACTTTGCCATATCTTGATGGTCATGGAGGGTGTGGCACCCAAGTAGATGCTTGGACCCGACATGGGAAGGCCCTGGAAACTAAGGACAAGGAAGGAGTGGTACCTTCTGTTGTCCCAACCAATGGTTCCCCGAGAGAGGGAAAATAGCTAACCTGAATGATGGAGGCCAACCTGCAAGGACCCCAAACAGCCTAATAGGAGCTGAAACGATACATACATGTAAACCGAGTTACAATAAACATGTCTCCGCTGACGGGGGAGGTGAGAGGGCTACAGGCAGTGGGGGCATAAGAAAACCCATTGTCCAAGGCTGGGGATGCAGATGCCAGAGGCCATTCAATCGGGGGATTCCATCAATAGGGCCCTTCACCATGTGGGACACCATCCATGACCACCAAGACCTGACAAAGTCAAAAGGGGGCCCCCAAGGACACCGGCACCCCCTGGCCTGTGTTCTGGGCCAAAACAGAGGCCTCCAGGACTAGGGGACATGTACTGGAAAGCACAAAAAATGCCACAACTGGCACAGGAAGGGAGAAGATCTTCCCGCCATTGGTTATGGCCTGAAGATCCAGCTGTGCCCATCAATAAATGGAAAAGAGAAATAACTGGACCCAAAACCACGAACGTTTCCTTACTATAAGGGAGAACACAGTGTGTGAAGATTCAGATACCCACAGCGACCAATCAGCAATCACCTTTCCCTGCCATGATGGTAGAAGCTAATGAAAGCTACATTCTGATTGGCTGCTCTGCGCTGCCTCATTACACCTGAGGTGTCTGCTCTCTCCTTTCACTATCTTTCCAATTATACGTTGCCGGTCTCTGCTTCCCTGGCGGCTTTTCCTGCCATCCTCTGGGATTTGTGATAGTCGGCCCGCTGAGCTCCTGAAGGCACTTCAGAGATGAATGACAACATGCTGAAACCTCGAGTGCTCGGCGCTGGAGACATCTCAAGCAGTGTGCGAATTTCTGTGACAGATAAACACTCGGATCTTGCAGCGTCTGCCGCGGTGGGGGGAGGAGCTGGGAGAGGGGAGTCAGCTGTTTGGCAGACGGCGCTCACCGGTAAGGGCTCTTCACGCAAAAAAAAGTAATTAGTATAAGACTTGAAGACGGCAACAGCGGACTGACAGACGAGGGAGTTGGAGGAGAACGGTCTATAGCCAAGTAGAGGGCCAAAACCTTTTGTACCGAGTAGGAAACGGCTGAAAACCACCAGGGTTTGTGTTTGCCATCTGTGCCCCATTGGAGAGATCTACCTTCACCCACTCCACCACAGACCCAACAGGAAGGTCATTCCCATCTCCTTTTCTAATTGGTGGGACTGAGTGCTGAGGGTAAGCTTTGGATTCATGGCCTCCCTCATTCCATCTCCTTTCCTAACTGTCGGGACTGAGCGCTGGGGGTAAGCTTTGGATTCATGGCCTCCCTCATTCCATCTCCTTTCCTAACTGGTGGGACTGAGCGCTGGGGGGTAAGCTTAGGAAAGGAGATGGAATGAGGGAGGCCATGAATCCAAAGCTTACCCTCAGCACTCAGTCTGGGGCCAATTAAGAAAGGAGATGGAACGAGGGAGGCCATGAATCCGAAAGCTTACCCCCAGTGCTCAGTCCCGCCAGTTAGAAAAGGAGATGGAATGAGGGAGGCCATGAATCCAAAGCTTACCCCCAGCGCTCAATCCCACCCATTAGAAAAGGAGATGGAATGAGGGAGGCCATGAATCCGAAGCTTACCCCCAGCGTTCAGTCCCGCCAGTTAGGAAAGGAGATGGAATGAGGGAGGCCATGAATCCAAACTGGTGGGACTGAGCGCTGAGGGTAAGCTTCGGATTCATGGCCTCCCTCATTCCATCTCCTTTCCTAACTGGCGGGACTGAGCGCTGAGGGTAAGCTTCGGATTCATGGCCTCCCTCATTCCATCTCCTTTCCTAACTGGCGGGACTGAGTGCTGAGGGTAAGCTTCGGATTCATGGCCTCCCTCATTCCATCTCCTTTCCTAACTGGTGGGACTGAGTGCTGAGGGTAAGCTTCGGATTCATGGCCTCCCTCATTCCATCTCCTTTCCTAACTGGCGGGACTGAGCGCTGAGGGTAAGCTCGGATGGCCTCCCTCATTCCATCTCCTTTCCTAACTGGTGGGACGAGTGCTGATAAGCTTCGGATTCATGGCCTCCCTCATTCCATCTCCTTTCCTAACTGGTGGGACTGAGCGCTGGGGGTAAGCTTCAGATTCATGGCCTCCCTGAATCTCTCTCAATTGGTATAAATTGGAGAGCTGCACGTCACTTTCCATGTGCATTGGTTCTCAAGAGGATTTGCGGAAGCAAATGCCGCCATTAGAAATCACGGGGTCCCTTGCGGTCTACCTGACCCCCAACCCATAACTTCCATTATGTATCCTCAATCAGCTGTCATGCTGTCAGATTCTATTTTTCCACACAGTGCTGGCTGTGCTCCCCCTGCACGTCACACCGCCGTCCTCTGGTGTGGTTGTGCTAGGTCCTCACTCTCTTCTTCACTCTCACTTCTCACCCCAGTCTTCCTCCTGTTGTACCCTGGTTTGCCCATGCTGGATCCCCATCCCCCCCCCTCTTCCTCTTCCAATCAAGCTGGTCTTCCTCCTGCTGTACCCACCCTGGTTGGACCATGCTGGATCCCCATTCTTTCTCCTGCTGTACCCACCCTGGTTGGACCAAGCTGGATCCCCATACTTTCTGCTGCTGTACCCTGGTTCAACCATGCTGGATCCCCATTCTTCCTCCTGCTGTACCCTGGTTCACCATGCTGGATCCCCATGCTTCCTCCTGCTGTACCCTGGTTCACCATGCTGGATTGGATCCCTATTCTTGCCCTCCCCCCGCACCCTGGTTTTCCATCTGCTGTCCCCTGGTTAGACCATGCTGGATCCCCAGTCTTTCCTGCGCCCCTGGTCTTCCTTCCACCGCTGTCCCGGGTTAAGCCATGCTGAATCCCTATTCTCTTCAAGGTGGACGAGCCAAAGCAAAAAGGTGTGACAGCAGTACATGGCGGGGGGGTGGAGTGGTGCAATTAGGAAACTATACATCCCCCCCCCTTTTACAGGTTACATTTAACCCCTTTACCTCTGCCGTTTGCGGGGCAGGCTGTTGTTCTTGATGAGTAAAGACTTGATGTGTTCCACCAAGGGGTCGTCGTGTTTCAAGCACCAGTGGCGCAGGATGCTGGTGGTGAACTGGTCGTCGGGGTGGCACGGGCGGCTGAGCACCATCTTCACCATCTCCTCGGTCGGCCTGAGGGAAGCAAAAAATAAAGAAATTATTAAAACTGACCTCCTGCCTTCTCTTGCACAGGTGTACCGGCTCCTCCCCCCCAGTCTTGCACAGGTGTACCGGCTCCTCCCCTTCAGTCTTGCACAGGTGTACCGGCTCCTCCCCTTCAGTCTTGCACAGGTGTACCGGCTCCTCCCCTTCAGTCTTGCACAGGTGTACCGGCTCCTCCCCTTCAGTCTTGCACAGTTGTACCGGCTCCTCCCTTTCAGTCTTGCACAGGTGTACCGGCTCCTCCCCTTCAGTCTTGCACAGGTGTACCGGCTCCTCCCCTTCACTCTTGCACAAGTGTACCGGCTCGTCCCCTTCAGTCTTGCACAGGTGTACCGGCTCCTCCCCTACAGTCTTGCACAGGTGTATTGGCTCCTCCCCTACAGTCTTGCACAGGTGTGCCGGCTCCTCCCCTCCAGTCTTGCGCAGGTGTACCGGCCCCTCCCCTCCAGTCTTGCGCAGGTGTACCGGCTCCTCCCCTTTAGTCTTGCACAGGTGTACCGGCTCCTCCCCTTTAGTCTTGCACAGGTGTACCGGCTCCTCCCCTTTAGTCTTGCACAGGTGTACCGGCTCCTCCCCTTCAGTCTTGCACAGGTGTACCGGCTCCTCCCCTTCAGTCTTGCACAGGTGTACCGGCCCCTCCCCTCCAGTCTTGCACAGGTGTACCGGCCCCTCCCCTCCAGTCTTGCACAGGTGTACCGGCCCCTCCCCTTTAGTCTTGCACAGGTGTACCGGCTCCTCCCCTTCAGTCTTGCACAGGTGTACCGGCTCCTCCCCTTCAGTCTTGCACAGGTGTACCGGCTCCTGCCCTTCAGTCTTGCACAGGTGTACCGGCTCCTCCCCTTCAGTCTTGCACAGGTATATAGGCTCGTCCCCTTCAGTCTTGCACAGGTGTACCGGCTCCTCCCCTACAGTCTTGCACAGGTGTATTGGCTCCTCCCCTTCAGTCTTGCACAGGTGTACAGGCTCCTCCCCTGCAGTCTTGCACAGGTGTATTGGCTCCTCCCCTGCAGTCTTGCACAGGTGTACCGGCTCCTCCCCTGCAGTTTTGCACAGGTGTACCGGCTCCTCCCCTGCAGTCTTGCACAGGTGTACTGGCTCCTCCCCTCCAGTCTTGCACAGGTGTACCGGCCCCTCCCCTCCAGTCTTGCACAGGTGTACCGGCTCCACCCCTTCAGTCTTGCACAGGTGTACCGGCTCCTCCCCTGGACTGGAATGGCTTCCTCTGATGTCACTGCACACTGTGAGCTCCTCACAATGTGCATTAGAAGCCGCAGCCAGTCAGACAAAGCCAAACTAGTTATCAAATGACTTCTGTGTGGGTCAATACAGCGAACGCGGGGTCGAGCGGGGACAAACGACGCACGTAAATTGATACAGAGAAATATCTGGTGACATCAGGCTGAGCGATGGCTCCTGTGGCCCTCCATTACCCACAATCCCCCGCTCTCCCAGCACACGGCAGATGCGGTAATAAATGATCCGGCTGATAAGGGATCTCTCTGTACAGGATATTGCAGAGCGTGACACCATCAGACCTGCATACACAATGACACTCCGGCTCGGCGTTCACCGTAATGGCGGGGAAAGTGCCGCACAGCCTGCAATTATAGCAAATGGCGCACTTATAAAGGTCAGAGGACTAAGCGCTTTTCACGCGGCCGTTCTATACGGTTGTTCAGCAAATTTGTTAAAATGCGGCGTTAAGTGGGGCGCGCCTATGTCAGTCAAGAAGCTGGAGGAGAATTCCGTATCCAGAGTCCATGTCCAGTTTATGGCGGTGCAAACTATGAGCGAGTGGTCCGTATATAAACAGGGGGGTCTCCAGTCATAATACAAAGTGCCACTTACTTTTCCCTGCGGAGCTGCAGGAGGAGGCAGGACAGAGCTTCAGGGTGTTCTGCAAAGGGGAAAACAGACACAGAAGTCACCGAAAATGGCAGAGACATTCTATTAGGGTGATCACACATGGTCAGATGAGATGGAAAGGAGCCGGTGGGTGAAGGAATGCCGGGGAAGAGGCAGGATGGAGGGGAGAGGAGGAGGAGGGTGAAGGAATGTCGGGGAAGAGGAGGATGGAGGGGAGAGGAGGAGGAGGGTGAAGGAATGTCGGGGAAGAGGCAGGATGGAGGGGAGAGGAGGAGGAGGGTGAAGGAATGTCGGGGAAGAGGCAGGATGGAGGGGAGAGGAGGAGGAGGGTGAAGGAATGCCAGGGAAGAGGCAGGATGGAGGGTGGATCAGTAGGAGAGGAGGAGGAGGGTGAAGGAATGCCGGGGAAGAGGGAGGGGAGAGGAGGAGGAGGGTGAAGGAATGCCGGGGAAGAGGCAGGATGGAGGGTGGATCAGTAGGAGAGGAGGAGGAGGGGTGAAGGAATGCCGGGGAAGAAGCAGGACGGCGGGTGGATCAGTAGGAGAGGAGGAGGAGGAGGGTGAAGGAATGCCGGGGAAGAGGCAGGATGGAGGGTGGATCAGTAGGAGAGGAGGAGGGTGAAGGAATGTTGGGGAAGAGGCAGGATGGAGGGGGTGGATCAGTAGGAGAGGAGGAGGGTGAAGGAATGGGGGAAGAGGCAAGATGGAGGGTGGATCAGTAGGAGAGGAGGAGGGTGAAGGAATGTTGGGGAAGAGGCAGGATGGAGGGGTGGATCAGTAGGAGAGGAGGAGGGTGAAGGAATGTTGGGGAAGAGGCAGGATGGCGGGTGGATCAGTAGGAGAGGAGGAGGAGGGTGAAGGAATGCCGGGGAAGAGGCAGGATGGAGGGTGGATCAGTAGGAGGAGGAGGAGGAGGTGGGTGAAGGAATGCCGGGGAAGAGGCAGGATGGAGGGTGGATCAGTAGGAGAGGAGGAGGAGGGTGAAGGAATGCCGGGGAAGAGGCAGGATGGAGGGTGGATCAGTAGGAGAGGAGGAGGAGGGTGAAGGAATGCCGGGGAAGAGGCAGGATGGAGGGTGGATCAGTAGGAGAGGAGGAGGAGGTGGGTGAAGGAATGCCGGGGAAGAGGCAGGATGGAGGGTGGATCAGTAGGAAAGGAGGAGGAGGAGGGTGAAGGAATGCCGGGGAAGAGGCAGGATGGAGGGTGGATCAGTAGGAGAGGAGGAGGAGGGGGGTGAAGGAATGCCGGGGAAGAGGCAGGATGGAGGGTGGATCAGTAGGAGAGGAGGAGGAGGTGGGTGAAGGAATGCGGGGAAGAGGCAGGATGGAGGGTGGATCAGTAGGAGAGGAGGAGGGGGTGAAGGAATGCGGGGAAGAGGCAGCAGGATGGCGGGTGGATCAGTAGGAGAGGAGGAGGGTGAAGGAATGCCAGGGAAGCAGGACGGCGGGTGGATCAGTAGGAGAGGAGGAGGAGGGTGAAGAAGAATGCCAGGGAAGAAGCAGGACGGCGGGTGGATCAGTAGGAGAGGAGAGGAGGGTGAAGAAATGCGGGGAAGAGGCAGGATGGAGGGTGGATCAGTAGGAAAGGAGGAGGAGGTGGGTGAAGGAAAGTCGGGGAAGAGGCAGGATGGAAGGTGGATCAGTAGGAGAGGAGGAGGGTGAAGGAATGTCGGGGAAGAGGCAGGACAGCGGGTGGATCGGTATGAGAGGATAAAGAGGTGTGTCTGGGTGAGAGACCTACTGACCTTTGTACTTGAGATGCTGCAGGATGGGGATGATGGTCTCCAATGGGACGTTGTGAGCCAGGAAGAGCTGCCACGTACAGTACTGCTCGAAGGTCTCCCAATCCAAACTTTGAACTGAAAGAGAGACAGAGACCTTACTGCCCACCCACTCAGGGTCATGTGACCACCTCAGTACCAATAGGGTGAAGAACATGGCAGATCCTGACAACGAGGACAAGTCCCGACACCTAAGCCCTAGGCTAAAAAACTGAGCTGCGTGTTGTAAATGGGGATTTGGTCAGCAGTAGGAGGCAGCTCATTGTGCGTTTTTCACTTTAGTTGCACCTAGTGTCTTCCTCCTGAAGGTGGCGACATGCAACCAGTCTGGCTGTGTCCTCCAATGAATGGAAGAGAACACTTTTTAAAGCCCCAAAGAAAGGGGAGGCCTTTCACCGACTCGCATTGGCTGTACTTAATCTTGTTCAATGGGGGAGGTCTTTCACCGAAACGCGTTGGCTGTACTTGATCTTGGTCAATAGGGGGAGGTCTTTCACCGAAACGCATTGAATATATTAGATCTTGGTCAATAGGGGGAGGTCTTTCACCGAATCTTGTTCAATACGGGGAGGCCTTTCACCGACTCGCATTGGCTGTACTTAATCTTGTTCAATGGGGGAGGTCTTTCACCGAAACGCGTTGAATGTACTTGATCTTGGTCAATAGGGGGAGGTTTTTTCACCGAAATGCGTTGAATGTACTTGATCTTGGTCAATAGGGGGAGGTCTTTCACCGAAACGCGTTGAATGGACTGGATCTTGGTCAATAGGGGGAGGTCTTTCACCGAAACGCGTTGAATGTACTTGATCTTGGTCAATAGGGGGAGGTCTTTCACCGAAACGCGTTGGCTGTACTTGATCTTGGTCAATAGGGGGAGGTCTTTCACCGAAACGCATTGAATATATCTTGTTCAATAGGGGGAGGTCTTTCACCGAAATGCGTTGAATGTACTTGATCTTGGTCAATAGGGGAGGTCTTTCACCGAAACGCGTTGAATGGACTTGATCTTGGTCAATAGGGGGAGGTCTTTCACCGAAACGCGTTGAAGTACTTAATCTTGGTCAATAGGGGGAGGTCTTTCACCGAAACGCGTTGAATGTACTTGATCTTGGTCAATAGGGGGAGGTCTTTCACCGAAACGCATTGAATATATTAGATCTTGCTCAATAGGGGGAGGTCTTTCACCGAAACGCGTTGAATGTACTTGAATCTTGTCAATAGGGGGAGGTCTTTCACCGAAACGCATTGAATGTACTTGATCTTGCTCAATAAGGGGGAGGTCTTTCACCGAAACGCGTTGAATGTACTTGATCTTGGTCAATAGGGGGAGGTCTTTCACCGAAACGCGTTGAAGCACTTAATCTTGTTCAATAGGGGGAGGTCTTTCACCGAAATGCGTTGAATGTACTTGATCTTGTTCAATACGGGGAGGTCTTTCACTGAAACGCATTGAATGTACTTGATCTTGTTCAACAAGGGGGAGGTCTTTCACCGAAACTCGTTGAATGTACTTAATCTTGGTCAATAGGGGGAGGTCTTTCACCGAAACGCGTTGAATGTACTTGATCTTGGTCAATAGGGGGAGGTATTTCACTGAAACGCATTGAATATATTAGATCTTGTTCAATGGGGGAGGTCTTTCACTGAAACGCATTGAATGTACTTGACCTTGGTCAATAGGGGGAGGTCTTTCACCGAAACACGCATTGAATATATTAGATCTTGTTCAATGGGGGAGGTCTTTCACCGAAAACACGTTGAATATATTTGATCTTGGTCAATAGGGGGAGGTCTTTCACCGAAACGCAATGAATGTACTTGATCTTGGTCAATAGGGGGAGGTATTTCACCGAAACGCATTGAATATATTAGATCGTTCAATAGGGGGAGGTCTTTCACCAAAACGCATTGAATGTACTTGATCTTGTTCAATGGGGGGGGGGGGGCCTTTCACTGAAGTGTATTAGCTGCACTGAATCTTAGGGAAGGCTGCGTTGGAATGTACTCAATATTGTTCAATGGGGGGGCCTTCACTGAGAAACATTGGATGTACTCAATATTGTTCAATGGGGGGGGGGCTTCACTGAGACACATTGGATGTACTCAATCTTGTTCAATTGGGGGGGGGGGGCTTCACTGAGACACATTGGACAATCTTGTTCATTGGAGGTACTCAATCTTGTTCAATAGGGGGAGGCCTTTCAATGAAACGCGTTGGGGCACTCAATCTTGTTCAATAGGGGGTGGGGGGCTTCATGGAAACGCATTGGGGCACTCAATCTTGATCAATAGGGGGAGGCCTTTCACCGAAATGCGTTGGATGTACTCAATCTGGTTCAATGGGGGCGGGGCTTTCACCGAAATAAACACACTCCAAAGACATGCTGGTGGGTTAGTTGGCTCATGTATGTGAGGTCCTTGGTATGGACGCTCCTTGGGGGGGTAAATAGTTGGCACAATATAAATACCTGTATAAAATAGGTATCAGAGCCCCTAACCACCCCCTTCCCCCTCCCCACAGACCCCAGACACTCAATTCCCAACCTAGAACACTTACTTAGAATATTGAGCACGGAGTCCTTCCGGAACATCACCAGGTTCCCCATCATGACGTGACACACCAGTTCCTGCAGCTGAGACACAAACAGGAAGTTACCGGAGCCCCGCCCCCCCCCTACAGAGCTCAGCCCTGAGCGGCTCTCACACATTCCACATTACAAACGCATGAGAGGTGTCAGTGTAACGTTCAACCCTTACCTGGGCGGAGTCAATGACGGCCACAATCATGTTCAGGAGTTCCCCGCTCCGCAGCGTTTCGTCTGGAAACTGGAGGGAGAGAGGAGGAGTGAGGTCCTCCTGCTGTGTAGCTGGAAATTCAGTGACACCCAGAACAAGATGGCCGCCCCATCGCTCAGCACGGCTCAGGCTGCTAATACATCGAGATACACCCCCCCCCCCAAATGTACTGCAGCCTCACCCCTCATATTCCCCACAATGCCTTCTTCACATCTCAAATCACCCCAATTCCTGCACCTTCACCCCCTCAGATCCCCCCAATTCCTGCACCTTCACCCCCTCAGATCCCCCCAATTCCTGCACCTTCACCCCCTCAGATCACCCCAATTCCTGCACCTTCACCCCCTCAGATCCCCCCATTCCTGCACCTTCACCCCCTCAGATCCCCCCAATTCCTGCACCTTCACCCCTCAGATCCCCCAATTCCTGCACCTTCACCCCCTCAGATCCCCCAATTCCTGCACCTTCACCCCCCTCAGATCCCCCCAATTCCTGCACCTTCACCCCCTCAGATCCCCCCAATTTCTGCACCTTCACCCCCTCAGATCACCCCAATTCCTGCACCTTCACCCCTCAGATCCCCCCAATTCCTGCACCTTCACCCCCTCAGATCACCCAATTCCTGCACCTTCACCCCCTCAGATCACCCAATTCTGCACTCATACCTCAGATCCCCCAATTCTGCACTCTCATACCTCAGATCACCCCAATTCTGCCCTCATACCTTAGATCACCCCCAATTCTGCACCTTCACCCCCTCAGATCCCCCCAATTCCTGCACCTTCACCCCCTCAGATCACCCCAATTCTGCACCGTCATACTCAGATCCCCCCCAATTCCTGCATCTTCACTCCTCAGATCCCCCCAATTCCTGCACCTTCACTCCTCCGATCCCCCCAATTCCTGCACCTTCACTCCTCCGATCCCCCCCAATTCCTGCACCATCACTCCTCAGATCCCCCCCCCCATTCCTGCACCATCACACTCCTCCGATCCCCCCAATTCCTGCACCATCACACCTCAGATCCCCAATTCCTGCACCATCACACCTCAGATCCCCTCCATTCCTGCACCATCACTCCTCAGATCCCCCCCATTCCTGCTCCATCACTCCTCAGATCCCAATTCCTGCACCTTCACTCCTCAGATCCCAATTCCTGCACCTTCACTCCTCAGATCCCAATTCCTGCACCTTCACTCCTCAGATCCTCCCCAATTCCTGCACCTTCACTCCTCAGATCCCAATTCCTGCACCTTCACTCCTCAGATCCCCCAATTCCTGCACCATTCACACCTCAGATCCCCCCCAATTCCTGCACCTTCACTCCTCAGATCCCAATTCCTGCACCATCACTCCTCAGATCCCCCCCAATTCCTGCACCTTCACTCCTCAGATCCTCCCCATTCCTGCACCTTCACTCCTCAGGTCCCAATTCCTGCACCTTCACTCCTCAGATCCCCCCAATTCCTGCACCTTCACTCCTCCTCCGATCCTCCCCAGTTCCTGCACCTTCACTCCTCAGATCCCAATTCCTGCACCTTCACTCCTCAGATCCCCCAATTCCTGCACCTTCACTCCTCAGATCCCCCCAGTTCCTGCACCTTCACTCCTCAGATCCCCCCAATTCCTGCACCTTCACTCCTCAGATCCCCCCAATTTCTGCACCTTCACCCCTGAGATCAGGCCAATCCCTCCACCTGCATACTGTACCTCGCTGTATATGGAGGGGGTCAGGTAACACAGCAGACGCACATCATCCTCCTGGCAGGCTTTCATGTCCATCATCAGGCAGGTGTGCAGGTCACCGAGTTGCGTGGCCTGAGCGAACGACTCGTACAAGTTCATCTTCCCGGCCGCGGCTTTGCTGCAGAGAGGAAACCAATTAGAGACCAAAATGGACCAAAATCCACCAATAACAGTTAATAACACCAATGGACCAATAACACCACCAATTTTGATATACATTGGAGATGGTAAGAAGAGTCCCAACCCATCCCCCGCACCAATCCCTGACCAATCGCCATCTTTAGATACATCTGTGTTATCTCTGAAAACAGGTGAGAGCGCCCCCTTTACAATCTTCTCTTCTCCCAGTGAGGATACAGGAGGATCGCGGAATGGACCAGCGGCTGATATCGGAATCACGCAGAACACCCTCCTCAGACGTCTCCTTTACAAATTCTACTTGTCTGCTTGATTTAGTACGTCGGGCGTTTTCTAAGCCATTGCCATGAAATATACAGAAATCTCAGCGATGACGTCATCCACGGCCACGTTTACTTCGGGTCAAGGACTCTGCCAGGTAAGCGATGCAGAAGCTCCATGCGTTCCATGCCTATGATCCGCGTCCGGCCAAGAACCCATAGCGTCCGGGGCAGAGGGCGCGTCACGGGCAGAGGGCGCGTCCGGGGCAGAGGGCGCGTCCGGGGCAGAGGGCAACGTCACGGCAGAAGGGCACGTCACGGCAGAGGGAACGTCACGGGCAGAGGCAACGTCATGGCAGAAGGGACGTCACGGGCAGAGCGCAACGTCACGGCAGAAGGGCAACGTCACGGCAGACGGCAACGTCGCGGCAGAGGGCAACGTCGCGGCACAGACGGGCAACGTCACGGGCACGGGCAACGTCACGGCAGAAGGGCAACGTCACGGCACAAGGGCAACGTCGCGGCACAAGGGCAACGTCGCGGCACAAGGGCAACGTCACGGCACACAAGGGCAACGTCGCGGCAGAAGGGCAACGTCACGGCAGAAGGGCAACGTCACGGCAGGCAGGGCAACGTCACGGCGGCAGGGCAACGTCACGGCAGAAGGGCAACGTCACGGCGGCAGAACGCGCAGTCCGGGCAGAGCGCACGTCACGGCAGAGGCAACGTCACGGCAGAGCGCACGTCCGGGCAGAGGGGAAGTCAGGGCATTGAGCGCACGTCTGGGCAGAGCGCACGTCCGGGCAGAGGCAGTCAGGGCAGAGCGCACGTCGAGACAGAGCGGGAAAGTCAGGGCAGAGCGCACGTCTGGGCAGAGGGGAAGTCAGGGCAGAGCGCACGTCGAGACGTCAGAGGGGAAGTCAGGGCATTGCGCACGTCTGGGCAGAGCGCACAGCCAGCTACGTCTCAGAGAAGAAAAAGAACATTTCATCATTCAGGAAGTCGTGTACCTGATTAGGAGGGAAATCTGTTCTGGCTATTAATTATCTCCAATAAACAATCCGGACATGGAGAACAGACACTGGATGTTATTAAGCAGAAGAAGAAAATAATGAGGAGGATTAAATCCCGGACCTGATACAGACCCTGCTGGGGAGGGAAAGAAATCTCACATCCGATGCCAAATACGACACCGACCCCAACCTATCATATAATAGTCTCCGACCTCGCGCTCCTCATATTCAATCCTCTTTTACCCAGCCTACCGTCCGCCAGTCTCCGCACCCGGCCTACCGTCCGCCAGTCTCCGCACCCGGCCTACACCGTCCGCCAGTCTCCGCACCCGGCCTACCGTCCGCCAGTCTCCGCACCCGGCCTACCGTCCGCCAGTCTCCGCACCCGGCCTACCGTCCGCCAGTCTCCGCACCCGGCCTACCGTCCGCCAGTCTCCGCACCGGCCTACCGTCCGCCAGTCTCCGCACCCGGCCTACCGTCCGCCAGTCTCCGCACCCGGCCTACCGTCCGCCAGTCTCCGCACCCGGCCTACCGTCCGCCAGTCTCTGCACCCGGCCAATCGTCCGCCAGTCTCTGCACCCAACCTATTGTGTTCCAGTCTCCGCTCCCCCGACCTATCGTATACCAGTCTCCGCACCCGGCAACCTATCGTATACCAGTCTCCGCTCCCCGACCTATCGTATACCAGTCTCGCCAGAACTATCTATACCAGTCTCCGCTCCCGACCTATCGTATACCAGTCTCCCGCTCCCCGACCTATCGTATACCAGTCTCCGCTCCCCGACCTACCCAGTCTCCGCTCCCCGACCTATCGTATTACCGTCTCGCCCCCGACCTATCGTATACCAGTCTCCGCACCCGACCTATCGCATACCAGTCCCGCCAGACCTATCGCATACCAGTCTCCGCTCCCCGACCGTCCATACCAGTCTCCGCACCTATCGCATACCAGTCTCCGCTCCCCGACCTATCGCATACCAGTCCCCTCACCTATCGCATACCAGTCTCCGCTCCCCGACCTATCGTATACCAGCTCCGCTCCCCGACCTATCGCGTACCAGTCCCGCTCCCCGACCTATCGTATACCAGTCTCCGCTCCCCGACCTATCGTATACCAGTCTCTCCGCTCCCCGACCTAGTATCGTATACCAGTCTCCGCTCCCCGACCTATCGTATACCAGTCTCCGCTCCCCGACCTATCGTATACCAGTCTCCGCTCCCCGACCTATCGTATAACAGTCTCCGCTCCCCGACCTATCGTATACCAGTCTCCGCTCCCCGACCTATCGTATACAGTCTCCGCTCCCCGACCTATCGTATAACAGTCTCCGCTCCCCCCTATCGTATAACAGTCTCCCGCTCCCCGACCTATCGTATAACAGTCTCCGCTCCCCGACCTATCGTATACCATTCTCTCCGCTCCCCGACCTATCGTATACCAGTCTCCGCTCCCCCGACCTATCGTATACAGTCTCCGCTCCCCCCGACCTATCGTATACCAGTCTCCGCTCCCCGACCTATCGTATACCAGTCTCCGCTCCCCGACCTATCGTATACCAGTCTCCGCTCCCCCGACCTATCGTATACCAGTCTCCGCTCCCCAACTTATCGTATACCAGTCTCCGCTCCCCGACCTATCGTATACCAGTCTCCGCTCCCCGACCTATCGTATACCAGTCTCCGCTCCCCGACCTATCGTATACCAGTCTCCGCTCCCCGACCTATCGTATACCAGTCTCCGCTCCCCAACTTATCGTATACCAGTCTCCGCTCCCCGACCTATCGTATACCAGTCTCCGCTCCCCGACCTATCGTATACCAGTCTCCGCTCCCCGACCTATCGTATACCAGTCTCCGCTCCCCGACCTATCGTATACCAGTCTCCGCTCCCCGACCTATCGTATACCAGTCTCCGCTCCTCCCGACCTATCGCATACCAGTCCAAAGTCCGCTCCCCCCCGACCTATCGTATAACAGTCTCCGCTCCCCTAACTTATCGTATAACAGTCTCCGCTCCCCGACCTATCGTATAACAGTCTCCGCTCCCCGACCTATCGTATAACAGTCTCCGCTCCCCAACTTATCGTATACCAGTCTCCGCTCCCCGACCTATCGTATACCAGTTTCCGCTCCCCGACCTATCGTATACCAGTCTCCGCTCCCCGACCTATCGTATACCAGTCTCCGCTCCCCGACCTATCGTATACCAGTCTCTGTTTTTGCAACATATACACTGCACCAGTCTCCGATTCCCAGTTTATCCTATACCAGTCTTTATTCTCCAACCCATCATACACTAGTCTTCATTTCCCAGCCCATCATATGCCAGTCTTTCTTACCCAACCTATCATATCCCCCTTACCTGGCCTTTAGGTAGTACAGAAGATGATAGCCAATCTTGGGCTGTTTCTGATAAAGTTCAGACAGTAAGTCTAGGAGGAGGGAGAAGCCATTGCTATCTTCTTGCATCTGGATCAGGTTTCTGGAGGCAGAGAAGATAAAGTGAAGATGATAAAGTCTTGGTAAGCCTGGGCTGTAGAAAGAGGATGTAAGGGAGACTTACCTAAATATCAGGTAGAGGGGTTTTCCAACAGACTCTTCCAGAGACCTGATAAATACAAGTAAATATTGTCAGAGGGTAAGAGGTAAACCAAACTAATGTAGAGGTCCAACAAAGTGTCATTGATTCCTATCCATCGGAGTAATCCACTGCCATATCCTTTGAGGCCAACCACAATGTATTTGGTACCATCACCCTGCCCTCTTCCCCACCCCCACCAATGGACCAGATTTCGACAGAGTTCACCAATGTACCGTCATCCATCATTCTCGTCTTCCATTGTCCATCCATAGGCAGAATGCCTGCATTACTGTCCAGTCACCCTTTAGTCCTCCACACTGCACTGACATGACCACCAAACGTCATTGTCTCACACATCCTACCTCATCATGTTGTATGCGATCCTTCACAAGGTAGCGGGTATATTGTTGGCAGTCCAGTAAACTGTTAAGGCTTCATCACCCTAACCGGCCCCCACATTCTGCCTTGTGTGGCCCACCTACCCTAAGAATTTAGTATGGATATAAACCTGTCCACTCCTTGTAGCTTCAGCTCAGTTGTAACCCAACAAACTGACATGACTGAACCCTTCAAGAAGGTTCTGATCAAGAAGCCTTCTAACCATACAGAGAACAAAATATCTGGTCACATGGGCTCAGGGGGCACTTAATCATCTGTGATCTCCTCTGGTAGGACCTCTCCCCGGAAATGGTGCTTGAACAACTCATGGAGACAGGAAGCCAAAACGGACAACTGCTCCGAGTCGAAGTTTAGTATGGACATAAACCTGTCCACTCCTTGTAGCTTCAGCTCAGTTGTAACCAGGGGCGGACTGACCATTTGGAAACTTGGGCACTGCCCGAGGGCCCGGGGTCAGTAGGGGGCCCCATGAGATGCCCCTGGTACCTTTTTCATAGGCTTTTTTGAGTTTGGGCAAGGACACAGGGGCCCCATGATACCCTATTGCCCGGGGGCCCCATGAGTTGTCAGTCCGCCCCTGGTTGTAACCCAACAAACTGACAAGATTGAACCCTTCAGGGTTTCAATAAAGAAACCTTTTAACCATACGGAGAAGATCAACATATCTGGTCACATGGCTCAGGAGGCACTTACTCATCTGTGTTCTCCTCTGGCAGGACCTCTCCCCCCCAGAAATGGCGCTTGAACAACTCATGGAGACAGGAAGCCAAAACGGACAACTGCTCCGAGTCGAAGTTTAGTATGGACATAAACCTGTCCACTCCTTGTAGCTTCAGCTCAGCTGTAACCCAACAAACTGACATGACTGACCCCCTTCAAGAAGGTTTTGATCAAGAAGCCTTCTAACCATACAGAGAACAAAATATCTGGTCACATGGGTCAGGGGGCACTTACTCATCTGTGATCTCCTCTGGTAGGACCTCTCCCCGGAAATGGTGCTTGAACAACTCATGGAGACAGGAAGCCAAAACGGACAACTGCTCCGAGTCGAAGTCATCCTGCGAAGAAGAGAAGAAAGAGTTCACCGCTTAGCCTTCCATTTGAAGGACAGCTGTCAGTTGGCCATGCTCATGCTTGGAAGGAGAAGAGTAGAAGACAGTGCATTGGCCTTTCCAGAGATGAAAGCATTAGTCTACTAAGTGCCATGTGTAAGGCCTACAATTATTCCCAGATGGTGGGATCGGCACATCAACGGTCACAGGACATTGGTATCCTACAGTAAGGATCTTACCGGGTAATTGGCTGCTGCTATACTTGGCAGGCCATACTCCATTCTGTTTACCCATTACCATGGCAGTGCCAGGAAGCTTGGATTTGGTGCTACAAGGCTGTTATGGAGCTACACTGAAAAGAGGGAGTGCCTTCTTCAGAACCTCACCTGTGACACCTAACCTCCCACCACTGATATGGGGCAAGCTTTAACGACACAGGAATTCGGAAATAAAATCAGCCTTCTGCATAAGGACAGAAACAAGTTTCAAGGACCTCTTCAGGTCCAGTGCCTTGCGCCAGCCAAACTCTTGGCTCCATCACCTCCCCTTGAACCAAAAAGCCACATATCCCTCCCATAGAATCAGCAACACTTTGCTGCTCAGAGGCACTCCACCCAAGTCCTCCTCCAAGGCATTTTCCGACCTGCTAGAGCTTACAGGCAGGAAACTCTTGATGGCTCTATAGGACGTGGATTGAGGCATTATACTTTGGCTGAACTTAAAAATGAAGACAAGTTTTACCTTCCTGATTCCCCACCACTCTCCTCTGCTGCAGATCATTGGGTTTAATCCGAAACATCAGTCTAAAAGAATAGATGCTTCACAAGCACTTACCTCTAGGATCTGCTCCACTATATCTTGCATCATCTCGCACTGCGACTCCATGTCACTGAAAGATATAAACAAGAAGGCACCATGACTGCTCAACACTAAACACATCGGACAACTAAGGACTCTATTACCTCCACTCAGATCTCAGATTACACTCAGTTCCCTGCTCTATGCTGTGCAGTGTGGCAATTCAGATCCATACCCCTTGCCTTTAGGAGCTCAGAAATGCTGTGTAAAAGGTTTGGTTTGGGAGGATTTAGAAGGCTGCAGATAAACAAGTACAACTTATATAGAAAGATTTGCTTCATCTCTGTGTATCACAGGAGGATATTAACTTCACTGGGAATTTTGAAGAGTTTGGTCACCTCAACGTGCTGGTCTTTGTTAAAAGTTTAAAGCCCCCCCGATCAGTTATGTTACAAGTCTGCATGAATAAATTCCTGACATGCCCCACAATATGCAGCAACAGGTGCAAATCAAGAGAGGTGCAATCTGGGAAAATGATGTCATCAGTCTGCTGCTGCATGAAGGAAAAAGGTTTCCCCAACCCCAGTGATCACTCAAAGTGGATGCTGTAATCCTTTATTGACAGGCAGGAGAAGGGAAAAGCCGGTGTCAGTAGGTACACATACTACTCACCTTTCCTTCTGCAAAGAAACAACCTTGTCTCTCAGTGGCTCTTCCAGCTGTTCCAGATACGGCGTGATGTCTACCGGCTCCTCAACGATCGTCTCTTTGATGGGGTGGAACCTGAAGTCTCGTTTCTTTCCTGGGGATGGAAGAAAACATAAGGGGTGGTTCAGTCTTCAATACTGGGCATTGTTGGTGAAGTCACATGCAGGGGGGCTTTGACTTAAAGGAGGAAGATGCTACAGCCACAGATATGGTCCCACAATCTATAGCTAAGGTTCTGTAACTTTGAGGAAGGTGTTATATCCACAGACAAGGCCCTACCCGTCCACAGACAAGGCCCTACCCCGTCCACAGACAAGGCCCAACCCGTCCACAGACAAGGCCCAACCCGTCCACAGACAAGGCCCAACCCGTCCACAGACAAGGCCCAACCCGTCCACAGACAAGGCCCCAACCCGTCCACAGACAAGGCCCAACCCGTCCACAGACAAGGCCCAACCCGTCCACAGACAAGGCCCAACCCGTCCACAGACAAGGCCCAACCCGTCCACAGACAAGGCCCTACCCGTCCACAGACAAGGCCCTACCCGTCCACAGACAAGGCCCTACCCGTCCACAGACAAGGCCCTACCCGTCCACAGACAAGGCCCTACCCGTCCACAGACAAGGCCCTACCCGTCCACAGACAAGGCCCTACCCGTCCACAGACAAGGCCCTACCCGTCCACAGACAAGGCCCTACCCGTCCACAGACAAGGCCCTACCCGTCCACAGACAAGGCCCTACCCGTCCACAGACAAGGCCCTACCCGTCCACAGACAAGGCCCTACCCGTCCACAGACAAGGCCCTACCCGTCCACAGACAAGGCCCTACCCGTCCACAGACAAGGCCCTACCCGTCCACAGACAAGGCCCTACCCGTCCACAGACAAGGCCCTACCCGTCCACAGACAAGGCCCTACCCGTCCACAGACAAGGCCCTACCCGTCCACAGACAAGGCCCTACCCGTCCACAGACAAGGCCCTACCCGTCCACAGACAAGGCCCTACCCGTCCACAGACAAGGCCCTACCCGTCCACAGACAAGGCCCTACCCGTCCACAGACAAGGCCCTATCCACAGACAAGGCCCTACCCGTCCACAGCTAAGGTGCTGTAACTTTGAGGAAGGTGATACATCCACAGCCAAGGTTCTATAATACTGAGGAAGGTGCAATGTCCACAGCGAAGGTTCTACGTCCACAGCTAAAGCACTATAACTTCGAAGAAGGTGCTGCGTCCACAGTGAAGGTTCTATGTCCACACCACTATAACTTCGAAGAAGGTGCTACGTCCACATCCAAGGTGCTGTAACTTAAAGGAGGAAGGCCCTACCTTCCTCAGCTAAAATGCTGTAACTGAGGAAGGTGATACATCCACAGCTAAGGAGCTATATCCACAGCTAAGATGCTGTAACCATGTCTCACAGCAAAGGTGCTACATCCACAGCCAAGGCGCCTTGTCTCACAGCCAAGGCGCCTTGTCTCACAGCCAAGGCGCCTTGTCTCACAGCCAAGGCGCCTTGTCTCACAGCCAAGGCGCCTTGTCTCACAGCCAAGGCGCCTTGTCTCACAGCCAAGGCGCCTTGTCTCACAGCCAAGGCGCCTTGTCTCACAGCCAAGGCGCCTTGTCTCACAGCCAAGGCGCCTTGTCTCACAGCCAAGGCGCCATGTCTCACAGCCAAGGCGCCATGTCTCACAGCCAAGGCGCCATGTCTCACAGCCAAGGCGCCATTGTCTCACAGCCAAGGCGCCTTGTCTCACAGCCAAGGCGCCTTGTCTCACAGCCAAGGCGCCTTGTCTCACAGCCAAGGCGCCTTGTCTCACAGCCAAGGCGCCTTGTCTCACAGCCAAGGCGCCTTGTCTCACAGCCAAGGCGCCTTGTCTCACAGCCAAGGCGCCTTGTCTCACAGCCAAGGCGCCTTGTCTCACAGCCAAGGCGCCTTGTCTCACAGCCAAGGCGCCTTGTCTCACAGCCAAGGCGCCTTGTCTCACAGCCAAGGCGCCTTGTCTCACAGCCAAGGCGCCATGTTTCACAGCCAAGGCGCCTTGTCTCACAGCCAAGGCGCCTTGTCTCACAGCCAAGGCGCCTTGTCTCACAGCCAAGGCGCCTTGTCTCACAGCCAAGGCGCCTTGTCTCACAGCCAAGGCGCCTTGTCTCACAGCCAAGGCGCCTTGTCTCACAGCCAAGGCGCCTTGTCTCACAGCCAAGGCGCCTTGTCTCACAGCCAAGGCGCCATGTCTCACAGCCAAGGCGCCTTGTCTCACAGCCAAGGCGCCATGTCTCTCAGCCAAGGCGCCATGTGTCGCCAAGGCGCCATATCTCACAGCCAAGGCGCCATATCTCACAGCCAAGGCGCCTTGTCTCACAGCCAAGGCGCCTTGTCTCACAGCCAAGGCGCCTTGTCTCACAGCCAAGGCGCCTTGTCTCACAGCCAAGGCGCCTTGTCTCACAGCCAAGGCGCCTTGTCTCACAGCCAAGGCGCCATGTCTCACAGCCAAGGCGCCATGTCTCACAGCCAAGGAGCCTTGTCTCACAGCCAAGGAGCCTTGTCTCACAGCCAAGGCGCCTTGTCTCACAGCCAAGGCGCCTTGTCTCACAGCCAAGGCGCCTTGTTTCACAGCCAAGGTGCTGCATGCAGCTAAAGTACATGTGCAGCCAATGGCGCACATTGTCTCACACAGATCAGGAGGCTTGCCTTGTCTCACAGCCAAGATGCGCCTTGTCTCACAGTAGATGTAGGGTCTGGTATTGTCTCACAGTGAAGCGCAGTCAGAGTCTTGTCTCATCAGCCAAGGCGCCTTTTCTCACAGCCAAGGCGCCAGTCTCAAAAACAGTCAACTGACACCTTTTGTACCATCAGTGACTTGTGTAGACAATTCTAACATTCTTGAACCAAAACATGGGAAACTCAACCTAATGGGCTCCATCTAAATATATCACTCTGAACCAACCCTTTAACAGCAGATCAAAAAGTATTCACTGTGGAGGTATAGAAAGTGTATTGAGACCCAAGAACAGCGTCAAACATTGCAGATTACCAGTCCTTAGCTGCGGTGACCGCATTCCTTTTCTTTTTTTCAGGCTAACAATATTATCTGCAAATACAGGTTTAGACATGCTGTAATGCTGCATATATATAAAAAAATGAAAGCGCGGGAGTCCGTCCGTACCGTTGTCAGTGGTTTTGTTGTTCAGTTCTTCGTCATCATCACTGAACGCTGCCTCTGCGTTGTCGTAGCAGCTCTCCTCTTTGTCAGCTAGGCTGTTGTCCATCTCCATCGACGCTGGTTCTTCTACTTTTACTGAGAAGGAAGAACCATCATAGTACTGAGTATGGGTCAAAATCAATGATGGAGCAGGATGGGTTCGTCCAGACCCAGAGCATGCAGACAAAGTGAAAGGAGGTTTCCCGACTGCCACGCACCTCGGCAGGCAATGTAATAGACTGATAAAAGCAGCCTCAGCTCAGCCTATCAAGGCCATACCACCAACGCGTTTCAACCCCGGTGTGGCGAAACGCAATGGAGTGGCCTTGATAGACTGAGCTGAGGCTGCTTTTACCAGTCTATTACACAGCCTTCGTTAGGTGTACGGCACTTGGGAAACCTCCTTTAACTTTGCCTATTGGCATATGGGGTTTGATCCCCAGCAAATAAATGCATGGAGTAAATTCTTCCCATATTGGTGCAGATGTTCTACAGGGGATTCTCTCCAGCAATCCAAAATCAAACTGGCAGCTTAACTGGCCCTACGAGACCAGGGGGCCAAAGGCTTGACCATCACACCTGCCTAAATGACCAATGGTATGTGGATCCCCTTCCCCTGATGGGGTTCAGGTGTCTCCAGTGAAGGCCCCTTAATAGTACATCATATAAAGTCATTGTAGACAATTATGCTCTTTCAATATTGTAGTAAGTTTGTTGAAGACCCTTTTCTGTTATGAATGTGCCCTGTGTAAAAAGCCAGCTCCATAACGACATGGATGACCAGCTTGGTGTGGTGGAACACAAGTGTCCTTCACAGAGCTCTGACTTCAACCCTACTGAGCACCTTAGGGATGAATTTGAACACCAATTGTGAGCCAGATCATCTCATCCAACATCATTATCTGACCTTATCCCTACTGAACATCTCTGGAATGACTTCAAATACCAATTGTAAGCCAGGTCTTCTCATCCAACATTAGTGTCTGACCTCAACCCTACTGAACACCTATGGGATGACTTCAAATACCAATTGTGAGGCAGGTCTTCTCATCCAACGTCTGGCATCTGACCTCAACCCTGCTGAGCACCTTTGAGATGAATTCAAACACCAATTGTGAGCCAGGTCTTCTCATCCAACATCATTATCTGACCTTATCCCTACTGAACATCTCTGGAATGACTTCAAATACCAATTGTAAGCCAGGTCTTCTCATCCAACATTAGTGTCTGACCTCAACCCTACTGAACACCTATGGGATGACTTCAAATACCATTGTGAGGCAGGTCTTTCTCATCCAACGTCTGGCATCTGACCTCAACCCTGCTGAGCACCTTTGAGATGAATTCAAACACCAATTGTCCAGGTCTTCTCATCCAACATCATTATCACCTTATCCCTATTGAACATCTTGGGATGACTTCAAATACCCATTGTGAGCCAAGTCATCTCACCCAACATCTGGTATTTGACCTCAACCCTACTGAAAACCTTTGAGATGAATTCAAACACCAATTGTGAGCCAGGTCTTCTCATCCAACATCAGGATCTAACCTCAACCCTACTGAACACCTTTGGGATGAGATGGAACACCCATTGTGAGCCAGGTCTTCTCATCCAACATTAGTGTCTGACCTCAACCCTACTGAACACCTTTGAGATGAATTCAAACACCAATTGTGAGCCAGGTCTTCTCATCCAACATCAGGATCTGACTTCAACCCTACTGAACACCTTTGGGATGAGATCGAATACACCAACTGTGAGCTAGGTCTTCTCATCCAACATTAGTGTCTGACCTCAACCCTACTGAACACCTTTCAGATGAATCTGAACACCAACTGTGAGCCAGGTCTTCTCATCCAACATTAGTGATCTGACCTCAACCCTACTGAACACCTTTCAGATGAATCTGAAGTGAGCCAGGTCTTCTCATCCATCAGGATCTGACCTCAACACTACTGAACACCTTTGTGGTGAAGTGAAACACTGATTGTGAGCCAGATCTCTTTTATGGTGCCCAACACGAGGCCCAATTGTGCGAGCCAGCTCTTCTCATCCAACATCAGTACCTGACTTCACAAATTGTGTGAAGCAGCTCCATAAAGACATGGATGACCAGCTTGGTGTGGAGGAACTCGAATGTCCTGCACAGAGCCCTGACCTCAACCCTACTGAACACCTTTGGAAAGAATTAGAACGCCGACTGCGAGCCAGGTCTCATATTGGTGCCCAATGTGAGGTCCAATGATACGGGCTTCCAACATCAGCACCTGACCAAATGGGCTCTAATTAACACAGAAGCCAATGTGGGACTGTGATAGTGTGGCGCTAACTGACCCCCAGGAGGTACACTAACTGGCTGACACGGCCCTCACTAGTGACACCAATACATTGATCGGATATAATACTGTACTAATGGCACTGGTTGGGAAGGGGTTAACATCAAGGGGCAATCAAGTGCCTAACAAGTGTAATGTGTGCTGCTTTTACTCACAGATCTGGCTGATGTTTTTCTCCCTGCTTGGCAGGGAAAAGAAACAGCCAGATCACTGATCTGTGTACAGAGCCCTGTGTTGTTTGTAAACACAGGACTCTCTGCTGTGATTGGCTACAACCGATCAGCAGGTCTCAGCCATAAATCATGGGCTGGGATCAGGGGAGGACTGACCATTCGATCACTTGGGCACTGCCCGAGAGCCCAGGTTCAGTAGGGGGCCCCATGAAATGCCCCTGGTACCTTTTATAGGCTTTTTTTGGGTGTGCTTTGAGTGTGGGCAAGGACACAGGGGCCCCATGAGCCCCTATTGCCCGGGAGGCCCCATGAGTTGTCAGTCCGCCCCTGGCTGGGATCTAGCTAGTGACAGTGCTGGTTAGCAGTGGGCACGTGCCCCCAAACCCTGCTTTTAGTAAATGTACTGTGGGCAGGCGGCAACTGGTTGAAAGCCATGGTTTTGGAATGGGATGTCCAACAAGCTCATATATATGTGACGGTCGGGTGTCCAAGCAATGAATGTGAAATTAGACTGTAAGCTCCTTTGGCGGCAGACCGACGCAAAGTCTTTATGCACTTTGTGAAGTGCTGCACAGTATCTCAGGACTATCCAAGTACAGGAACTGGGACGTCCATTTCTATACACGTGAACATTTCCCGCACCTGGAAGCCTCCCTCCCGTATCATCTAACACCACGGTACATTCCTTCGACAACGTGCTGTCGCACGAAACGCGTCAGTGAGGAGCATTGCCGTGCTCAAGTCAAGCCGCCGAGGCCGCATGTTGGTCCGGCGGCCATCTTTTACACTGTTCATGTAAGCCTGTTCCACATTTGCATATTATTTGGATTACTTCGCCGGATTTCTTATTAAATTTACTACACTATAATACCTATGTCTGGTGCAGGGGCGGACTGACCATTTGGAAACTTGGGCACTGCCTGAGGGCCCGGGATCAGTAGGGGGCCCCATGAGATGCCCCTGGTACCTTTTTCATAGGCTTTTTTGAGTTTGTGCAAGGACACAGGGGCCCCATGATCCCCTATTGCCCGGGGGCCCCATGAGTTGTCAGTCCGCCCCTGGTCTGGTGGCTTGATTACTGAGCCATCTAAGGTGGAGGATCACCATCTGGTATTATCGGTGTATTTTGGCGAAGTCTGATGTCCCTAAATGCTGGATTGGTCCGTTAGTGATGTCTGGAGTGCTTCCCATGTTGTGTGTATGTGCCAGTGGAGCCCCCTTCTGTCCCTGACCAGATCCATGATGACCACCAGGGTCCCTTTTGGAGATCATTGTAATATGCGCATTTAACTTGCGCTTCTGGTAAGTGCAAGCCCACCCCATTTCATCACCATTTGAAGTCACGAGCACTGGATTTTTTTTCAACGTTCCTGCTTCTCAGTCACTGGAATCACTGCTATTATTTGGAGTATTGCATCAATCACCTTCTGATTTTCATCCAGTCACATGTTTACTGGAATATGGATTTAGTAGCACTTCAACGAACTTCATAGTTTATATTATATATGGAATATATTTTTAGTGTCGAATCACTTCATCTTTGTGAATGTATTTCATCCATTCACTTTTTCACTTGCCACTTTGTTCATTATATTTAGTTCATCTCACTAATTTAGATATTTTGCGGTTTTGTGGACTTGATCACTTTATTCTTTAGCGCTGCATATTTGATTTATTGTATCTTTGAGGATTAAGGGGTTTTATCCTTTTATGCTAGCAGCTCATTTTTGATTTGTGCGCTCACCTACTTTTATTTCATTGAACATTTATGGAGTGATCTTTCTTACAATAGATGGTTCCCAAGTCTGGCAGGCCCTGTGTTGTGTCTACAGAGATCCGGAGAAGAAGCCATAGGCCGCAGGTCAGCTCAGAGACAAAAAAGATTGACATCATTACTTGGCACCGGCTGCAGTGTCAAGGTGTGAAAACAATCATGGAACTGGAGACGGCACCCGGGACCTCTCCAAATGCCTTTTCTCGGAAGAACTGGGACAGGATTTAACGATAGGTTACATGGCTTAAAGTCATGGAGGGGCCATGGAAGTCCCTGGAAAGTTCCAGATATGGACTTAAATCCTTAAATCCTCCCTCCATACGTACCGGCTCCTCTTCTATACTGAGGAAGAGATGGAGAGAAGGAGCGATGGAGAGAAGGAGAGAGACGAGGAAGAGATGGATGAGAAGGAGAGACACGAGGAAGAGATGGAGAGAAGGAGAGAAGGATGGAGAGAAGGAGAGACACGAGGGAAGAGATGGAGAGAGAGGAGAGACAGGAGGATGAGAGATGGAGAGAAGAGCGATGGAGAGGGGAGGAGACACGAGGGAAGAGATGGAGAGAAGGAGGAGAGAGGGAAGAGAGGAGAGGGGGAGGATGGAGAGAAGGAGCGATGGAGAGAAGGAGAGGAAGAGGGGAGGAGGAGAGAGAAGGAGAGGAGAGAGGGGGGGAAGAGGAGAGGGGGAGAGGAGGGATGGAGAGAAGGAGAAGAATGAGGAGAAGGAGGGAGGAAAGTGAGAAGGGAAGAGGAGGGGAATGAGAGGAGGAAGAGGGAGGAGGAGAGGGGGGGGGGGGGGGGGGGAAGAGAGAGAATCAGAGAGGGGATAGAGGAGGGGGGGGAGGAAAGGAAGGGGAGGGGAAGGAGGGGAAAAGAGGAGGGGGGGGGGAGAAGGAGGGGAAGGGAGAGGGAGGGAGGGGGGGAGAGAGAGGGGGGGGGGAGAGAGAGGGGGGGGGGGAAGGGGAGGGGGGGGAAGGAGGGGAGGGGAGAGGGGGAGAGAGGAGGGGGGGGGGAGGGGGGGGGAGGGGGAAGGGGAGGGGGGGGGGAGGGGGGGAGGGAAGGGGGGGGGGGGAGGGGGGGGAGAGGGGGGGAGGGAGGGGGGGAGGGGGGGGGAGGGGGGGAGAGGGGGGGGGGGGGGGGGGGGGGAGAGAGAGGGGGGGGGGGGGGGGGGAGGGGGGGGAGAGGGGAGAGGAGAGGGAGGGGGGGGGGGGGGGGGAGAAGAGGAGAGGGGAGAGAAGAGAGGGGGGGGGGGGGGGGGGGGGGGGAGGAGAGGGGGGGGGGGGGGGGGAGAGGGAGGGGGGGGGGGAGGGAGAGGGGGGGGGAGAGGGGGGAGGGAAGGAGGGAAAAAAGGAGGGAGGAGAAGAGGAGGGGGGGAGAGGGGGGAGGGAGGAAAAGAAGAGGGGGGGGGGGAGGGAAATAGAGGAGAGGGGGGGAGGAGGAGGGGGGAGGGGGGGGGAGGAGGGGGGGGGAGGGGAGGAGGGAGGGGAGGGGGGGGAGAAGAGGGGAGGGGGGGGAGGGGGGGAGAGGAGGGGGGAGAGGGGGGGGGAGAGTGAGAGGGGGGGGGGGGGGGGGGGAGAAGAGGGGGGGAGGGGGAGGGGGGGGGGAGAGGGGAAAGGAGAGAGGGGGGGGGGGGGGGGGGAGAGGGGGGGAGAGGGGAGGGAGGGGAGGGAGGGAGGGGAGGGGGAAAAGAGGAGGGGGGGGGAGGGGGGGGAGGGGGGGGGGGGGAGGGGAGGGGAGGAGGGGGGGGGGAGGGGGGAGAGGGGGGAGGGGGGGGGGGGAGGGGGGGAAGGGGGGGAGGGGGGGAGGAGGGGGGGGGGGGAGGGGGGGGGGGGGGGGGGGGGGAGGAGGGGGGGGGGAGGGAGAGAGGGGGGGGGGGGGGGGGAGAGAGGGGGGGGGAGAGGGGGGGGGGGGGGGGAGAGGGGGGGGGGGGGGGGGGGAGGAGGGGGGGGGAGGGGGGGGGGGGGGGGGGGGGGGGGAGGGGGGGGGGGGGGGGGGGGGGGGGGGAGGAGGGGGAGAGGGGGAGGGGGGAGAGGGGGGAGAGGGGGGGGGAGGGGGGGGGAGAGAGGGGGGGGGGGGGGGGGGGGGAAAGGGGGGGGGGAGGGGGATGAGGGGGGGGGGGGGGGGGGGGGGGGGGGGAGGGGGGGAGGGGGGAGGAGGGGGAGGGGGGGGGGGGAGGGGGGGGGGGGAGGGGGGGGGGAGGAGGGGAGGGAGGGAGGGGAGGAGAGGGAGAGGAGGGGGAGGGGGGGGGGAGGGGGGGAAGGGGGGGGGGGGGGGAGGGGGGGGGAGGGGGGGGGGGAGAGGGGGGGGGGGGGAGGGAAGGGGGGGAAGGGGGAGGGGGGGGGGGAGGGGGGGGGGGGGGGAAGGGAAGGGGGGGGGAGAGGGAGGGGGGGGAGGGGGAAGGGGGGAGAGGGGAGAGGGGGGAGGGGAGAGGAGGGGGGGGGGGGGGAGGGGGGAGGGGGGGGGGAGGGGGGGTAAGAGAGGGAAGGGGGGGGGGGAGGAGGGGAAGGGGGGAGAGGGGGGGGGGAAGAAGGGGGGGGGGGGGGGAAGGGGAGGGAGGGGAAGGGGGGGGGGGGGGGGGGGGGGGGGGAGGGGGGAGGGGGAAGAGGGGAGGGGAGGGGAGGAGGGGAGAGGGGGGAGGGGGGGGGGGGAGAGGGGGAGGGGGGGGGGGGGGGAAAGGGGGGGGGAGGGGAGAGGGGGGGGAGGAGAGAGGGGGGGGGGAGAGGGGGAGAGGAGAGAAGGGAGGGGAGGGGGGGGGAGGGAGAGAGAGGGGGGGGGGGGGGGGGGGGAAGAGGGGGGGGATAGGGGAGGGGGGGGGGGGGAAGGGAGGGGGGGGGGGGGGGGAAGGAGGGAGGGGAGGGGGGGGGGGGGGAGAGGGAGGGGAGGGGGGAGAGGGGAGGGGGGGGAGGGGGGGGGGGAGGGGAGGGGGGGAGAGAGGGAGAGGGAGAGGGGGGGGGAGGGGGGGGGGGGGGGGAAGGGGGGGGGGAGGGGGGGGGGGGGGGGGGGGGGAGGGGGAGGGAAGGGAAGGGGGGGGGGAGAAGAGAGGAGGGGGGGGGAGGAGGGGAGGGAGGGAAAGAGGGGAGGGGGGGGGAGGGAGAGAGAAAGGGGGGGGGGGGGGGAAGGGGAGGGGGGGGGAGGGGGAGGGAGGGGGGAGGGGGAGGGGGAGGGGAGAGGGAGAGGAGGAGAGAGGAAGGGGAGAGGGGGAGAGAGGGGGAGGAGAAGAGGGGGGGGGGGGGGAAGGGTCGGGAGAGGGGGAGAGGGAGGGGAGGAGGAGGGGGGGAAGAGAGGAGAGAGAGGAGGGGGAGGGGAAGGGGGAGGAGGGGGGGGAAGAAGGAAGGGGGAGGGGAAAGAGGGGAGGGGGGGGAGAGAGAGAGGGGGGGGGGGGGGGGGGGAAGGGGAGGGGGGGAAAAGAGAGAGAAGGGGGGGGGGATGAAGGGGAGGAGAGAGAGAAGGGAGGGAGAGGGGAGGAGAGAGGGAGAGAGGGGGAGGGAGGAAAGAGGGGGGGGGAGGGGAAAGGAGAGAGGGGGGGGGGAAGAGGGGAGAGGGGAAGGGGAGGGGAGGGGAGAGGGGGGAGAGGAGGGGGAGGGGGAGAGAAATGAGGAGAGGGGGGAGAAGGAGGGGGGAGGGAGGGGGGGGGGAGGGGGGGAGGGGGAGAAGAGAAGGGGAGGGGGGGAGGGGAGGGAGAAGGGGGGGTGGAAGGGGGGGAGAAGGGGAGGGGAAGGGGAGGGGGGGGGGAGAGAAGGGGAGGAGAGAGAGGGAAGGGAGGAGAGAAGGGAGGGAGAGAGGAGAAGGGGGGGAGAGAAGAGAAGGGAAGGGAAGGGGAGGGGAGAGAGAGAAGGGGAGGGGAGGGGGGGGGGAGAGAGAAGGGGAGGGGAGGGGACAGAGAAAACGTACAATAAGAGAGAAACACATAAGAAACACAAAGTGGAGACAGAGGAAAGGAGGGGAAAGGAGGGGAAAGGAGGGGAAAGGGAGGGGAAAGGAGGGGAAAGGGGGGAAAGGAGGGGCCATTGAACAGCACAACACATACTCACGGGCAGCCCCTTACTTTCTGAGGCTGGAGATGGCAGGTTGCAGAACTCCGGGAACTTCTCTCTCAGCATTGATCGCAGCTCTTTATCCAGCTTTGGGTTGTGGAACAATGGAGCCAGGTGCCTACAAAGGATACAATACACCATCATAGATCTACTCCATAGTCCAGGGATCCCTTTATATAGAACTGGAGGGATCTCCTTCCGGGGACAGAGCAGGTGATCTCCTCCACAGCACAGGGATCTGTTCCATACCAGGTATGGAAGGGTAGAGAGAACACACCCAATACCCCCCCCTCCCCCCATCCTTTGATACTTACGCCAGGACCCTCTTCTCCATGATGTGGGTAAGGGAGCTGTACACACCTTGTCTGACATTCCCTTCCAGAGGGGGGTAAAAATTGGGGATGATCTGTAAAAGTGAGAGATAATAGCTGATATTTTAGGAGGAAGCTTCATTCATCAAAGCCTCCACCATACCTCAGAACTATAATGGGCAATAAATGAGACTGGAAGTACAGCCAAGTCCTCTCACCAAGTCTCATCTGGGGAAAGTTTATACCAACCACCTTTCTACCGTGCATTTACCCCCCCAACTTTATTTTACTTTTGTTTGAGTTATTGAAAACCCCACAATGAGCACCAATGCATTGAACACCGTGTCACATTTTTTGCGCAGTTGGGAGGTACATGGAGAACCTTGCCGTAAACACTCGGCGCGAGGCGATCCCATATTTATTCCCCCGTCTGTTCCATGTAAATTTGTGGCCCCCTTGAAGCAGAGTAAGGGCGGGCTGTGAAAGACGAGCTGATAGGCCAATAATAGCACAGAGAAATATTTTGGAAAGAACAAGACCTGGACTGCAGAGGAACAATTACTCGGTATGGAGGGGGATCACAGAGAGTCGGGGTCTCTTGGGAATCCTTCCGAGAACCGAACTCCAAAACTGGAAACATTCTCAGCATTTATGGAGGTCCCTGGGGGCCCTCAGGAGGTGGGAAAATAAGGGGCCCAACCAGCTCTGTGACTGGATGACCTATTAGAATAGTGGGTAAGTGACACCTTGAGACCTGAACTGAGGGGGCAGGAGGTCTCAAGGATTTAAAGAGGACTTGTCTCAGATGTCACCGCTGCTGGCCTCCTACTGGGACCATGCCACCACCGTCAGGACATTTTCGCATTACATTTCATGGAGGCCTGTCACCGCTTCTGCTACAGACTTGTTTTGGGACCTTGGCTTTATTACACCTTAAAAAGTGGAACTCTGGGTAAAACAATGAACAGGCCGGGCCGACCTGATGAGGCCGGACGCCGGGCGATGAGGCCGGACGAAGACCAGATGAGGCCGGGCCGAGACGAAGACCAGATGAGGCCGGGCCCAGATGAGGCCGAGACGAAGACCAGATGAGGCCGGGCCGAGACGAAGACCGGATGAGGCCGGGCCGAGACGAAGACCAGATGAGGCCTGGCCGGGCCCGAGACGAAGACCAGATGAGGCCGGGCCGAGACGAAGACGAAGGCCGGGCCGAGACGAAGACAGATGAGGCCGGGCCGAGACGAAGACCAGATGAGGCCGGGCCGAGACGAAGACCAGATGAGGCCGGGCCGAGACGAAGACCAGATGAGGCCGGGCCGAGACGAAGAAGACCAGATGAGGCCAGGAGCCGGGACGACCAGATGAGACCAGATGAGGAGGCCTGCCGAGACGAAGACCAGATGAGCCGAGACGAAGACCAGAATGAGGCCGGGCCGACCAGATGAGGCCGGGCCGACGAAGACCAGATGAGGCCAGACCGAGACGAAAGACCAGGGCCGATGAGGCAGGCCGGGCCGACGAAGACGAGGCCTGACCGAGACGAAGACCAGAGGCCTGACCGAGACCAAGACCAGATGAGGCCTGACCGAGACGAAGACCAGATGAGGCCTGACCGAGACGAAGACCAGATGAGGCCAGACCGAGACGAAGACCAGATGAGGCCAGACCGAGGCCAGATCAGGCCCGAGACCAGAAGAGGCCAGATGACTAAGGAGACCGAGACTAAGCCCAGAAGAGCCAGACCGAGACTTTTGTTCAGATGATGGAGAGGCAGACAAGAGCCTGAATGAGCACCGGTATCCATATGGATGAACCATGGTGTATGGGTGGAGGAGGTAGAGTGCTTTGATCCCTGTTTGATTACCAATGGTCTAACCCTTGCAGTGTGGAAAGGGGGACCCCACTGCAATGGTTTTTTCATGTTGGGCTTTATGCTTCCTGATGCTTTCATTCCATCTTGAGAGGCATAAAAGGAAGACTGAGAAATCCAGACAACTCCTCTGCAGTTTGGATCCCTCTTTGATCAGTTTTTACCCTTCCTATAAGCAGCAAACACAGCTCTAGTCAAAGAGAAAGATTAAAAATGAAGAGCGCATTTTTTTCATCTACAAACTACAAAGGAAAAAAAATCCAGATAAAGACGACGAGATGAAAACTGTAACATTGTGTAAGCCAAAACTCCGACACCAGGGAAGAGAGGGGGCTGCTTATCGTGTGCAAATACTCAACACCAACACATACATAAAAACATGCCAGGTTTTGGGTTTTCATATAAAAAAATTTTTTTTTGAAATTTCCGAATTCTCCTAGCTAGACAGTAGCCTGAAAAACACCTCGACCAAAAGTTGCATCCTTAGCGGATCTAACATCCACCTGGTAAAACTCTGTACCGAAGTCCAGGGAGAGGACTTTACAGACTTGGTCTATCAAAGCTTGATGATAGATAGCCCAGGAAGCACCTACACTCTTGGTGGACTAAGCCGGCCCCGAAAAACGGTGGAAACTTTTCTTTCAAGCTGTTAGCTTGAGAAATACGTTAACAAATTCAAAAGGAATTAGTAGACTTGGCGGCATTGTGACGTTTCTTTGGTCCCTCAAGAAGTACAAAGAACCAGATTGCCAACTACATCCAAAGTGTGGACAGCCTTGTTCTCCAGTGACTGAGGCTTAGGACAAAAAGAAGAGAAGACAATCTCCTGGTTGAGATGGAAAGCTGAAACCACCTTACGTAAAAAAAAGATGGCTGAGGTCAAAGAACCACCTTGTCATGTTGGAGAAGCAGGAAAGGCTCCTTACAGGAAAGGGCCACCAGTTCTAAAACCCTACAAGCAATCCGATGCCCTTCGGCACCATCCAAAGTGTGGAGAGCCTTGTTCTCCAGTAACTGAGGCTTAGGACAAAAAAAAGGGAAGACAATATCCTGGTTGAGATGGAAAGCTGAAACCACCTCTTAGGCAAAAAAGATGGCTGAGGTCGAAGAACCACCTTGTCATGTTGAAGAACCAGGAAAGGCTTCTTACAGGAAAGGGCCACCAGTTCTAAAACCCTACAAGCAATCAGGTGCCCTTCAGCAACCCAACCACCAAATCGCAACAGCTGACTTCAGGTAAATCCTGATAGCACCAACACCATCCAAAGTGTGGAGAGTCTTGTTCTCCAGTGACTGAGGCTTAGGACAAAAAGAAGAGAAGACAATCTCCTGGTTGAGATGGAAAGCTGAAATTACCTTAGGTAAAAAAGATGGCTGAGGTCAAAGAACCACCTTGTCATGTTGGAGAAGCAGGAAAGGGCCACCAGTTCTAAAAAAACCCTACAAGCAATCCGATGCCCTTCGGCACCATCCAAAGTGTGGACAGCCTTGTTCTCCAGTGACTGAGGCTTAGGACAAAAAGAAGGGAAGACAATATCCTGGTTGAGATGGAAAGCTGAAACCACCTTAGGCAAAAAAGATGGCTGAGGTCGAAGAACCACCTTGTCATTATTATTATTATTATTACTACGAGTTTATATAGGCCTTAAGGAAAGGGCCACCAGTTCTAAAACCCTACAAGCTCAGGTGTCCTTCAGCAACCCAACCACCAAATCGCAACAGCTGTACAAAATCCTGATAGCACCAACACCATCCAAAGGTGGAGAGTCTTGTTCAATGAGGCTTAGGACAAAAAGAATGGAAGACAGTTGAGATGGAAAGCAAATTACCTTAGGTAAAAAAGATGGCTGAGTTCAAAGACACCTTGCATGTTGTTCTAAAACCCTACAAGAGGCCCTTCGGTCCAAGAGGTGGAGAGTCCTCCAGTGACTTAGGACAAAAAGAAGGGAAGACAATATCCTGGTTGAGATGGAAAGCTTTAGGCAAAAAGATGGCTGAGGTCATGTTGGGAGAACCAGGAAAGGCTCCTTAAAAGAAAGGGCCACCAGTTCTAAAACCCTACAAGCAATTCGGTGCCCTTCAGCAACCCAACCACCAAATCCCAACAGCTGACTTCAGGTAAATCCTGATAGCACCAACACCATCCAAATTGTGGAGAGTCTTGTTCTCCAGTGACTGAGGCTTAGGACAAAAAGAAGGGAAGACAATATATCCTGGTTGAGATGGAAAGCTGAAACCACACCTTAGGCAAAAAAGATGGCCGAGGTCGAAGAACCACCTTGTCATGTTGGAGAACCAGGAAAGGCTCCTTAAAGGAAAGGGCCACCAGTTCTAAAACCCTACAAGCAATCAGGTGCCCTTCAGCAACCCAACCACCAAATCCCAACAGCTGACTTTGGGTAAATCCTGATAGCACCAACACCATCCAAAGTGTGGAGAGTCTTGTTCTCCAGTGACTGAGACTTAGGACAAAAAGAAGAGAAGACAATCTCCTGGTTGAGATGAAAAGCTGAAACCACCAAAAAGATGGCTGAGGTCGAAGAACCACCTTATTATGTTGGAGAACCAGGAATGCCTCCTTACAGAAAGGGTGGCCAGTTCTGAAACCCAACAAGCAAAAGTAATGGTAACCAGAAAAAACAAGCTTCAGCGTAAAAAAAAAAAAAAAAGTCTCGAATGGGTTCAAAGCAGAGTAACATGTCTGGTATCTATCTACTCGACACAACTTCATCTATTATTATGTATAATATTGTGTGTTCAATAAAGTTCAATTTTGCGCATTTTTTTCTTTTTCTTTTGCATTCGACAAAACTGTGCAAATATGGAGCATCATAAAAAAAAAATCGCAACAGCTGCCATTTTATTCTCCGGGGCCTCAGATTTGACAAAATATACGTTTATATATATATATATTTATTATGGGTTCTAAAATTTCTAGCAAAAAAAAAAAATACAATTTGTGAACAATGTGAGATTTGCTGCAGTGGAGGAAGGGTTAACGTGCTGGAAATCGGTTGTATTTGATAAAAGCGAATTGTAGGATGTGCGTGAAGGCGGCGCACTGAGCTGACGGGAGGCGTGAAGCGGATGAAGGATTGATGTCTTCGCACATATAAATCTGCCTGCCATCTTCTCTGGCGGTGTGATCTGATTAGGCGGCTGATTCAGGGTGCCGCGGCGGCTCAGCACAACCCCCCCCCTCCCCTCCCGCCCCCCCCCAGGAGAGCGAGGTGCAGATGTCATCATTAGCGGGAGATCTATCATTCCGAGCGCTCGGTTTCCTGGCCCCTGCAGAGGCTCTAATCATGTCCTGACCTGGGGGCCACCAATCAACACAACACAGAGGATGGGGAGCCACATCTACCATTAACCCCTGAAATCCCGGCGACTTACCTCCCCCCTCCCCCCCCATATCCCCAATGTCATACCCGACACATGAAGTCCAGCAAGGTGGCAGTGATGGCTGGATGCGGCTTCATGGAATGGTGCATCACCAGGATCGCCGGCTCTGGGGGAGGGAAAGAAAAAATAAAATCAGGAAACTTCCAAAAACATATTAAGAAATACACATCAGGGAACGGATTTTGTCAAAGGAGTTCTAGTTCTGTCTATCCAGTCCTGAGATTTACACAGCGCGGCGCCCTCTCTTTCTGAGCAGGAGAGATTGTAGTCTACTGCAGTGCACTAACTCTTCGAGGGCTTGACCCTCTTCCAGCCTGTGATTGGACAATGAAAGCGGGAGCAGCCGGTTCTCTGCTCTCTTCTCCTGACAGCATGCTCACTGTTAGCATACGAGCACTGCAGCAGAATGGATGGGCTCTTTGTGCTGCTTCTCCCTCTTCCAGTCTAAGTTCTGCTGTACACAAGCTGCAAGAGGCTAACACCAAGTCACAATCCGGTCTGCGGTCCTGCTGGGTAGGACTATGATGTGTGCCAGAGCTGTGTAAACCTGGAGGGGGTTTATTGCTGAGGTATATACAAAGGAAAGCAGAGGTGCCCACCCTCTGACAGCATATGTCCTCCATTGTCCCCCAAACAGCAGCTGTCCTCCATAGGCTCCTGTACCATGTTTCTGGGCACTGAGGTTGAGTCTTGTTCTACCAGTCTGGAGGCCCCCCCAAAGTAACCGTGCCCACCCGCTGACAGCATTGGTCCTCCATTGTCCCCAAACAGCAGCTGTCCTCCATGGGCTCCTGTACCATGTTTCTGGGCACTGAGGTTGAGTCTTGTTCTACCAGTCCAAAGGCCCCCCCCAGAGTAAACAGTGCCCACCCGCTGACAGCATTTGTAGTCCATTGTCCCCAAACAGCAGCTGTCCGCCATGGTCTCCTGGACCATGTGTTTCTGGGCACTGAGGTTGAATCTTGTTCTACCAGTCCAAAGGCCCCCCCCCAGAGAAACAGTGCCCACCTGCTGACAGCATTTGTCCTCCATTGTCCCCCAAACAGTAGCTGTCCTCCATGGGCTCCTAGACCATATGTTTCTGGGCACTGAAGTTGAGTCTTGTTCTACCAGTCCAAAAGCCCCCCCCAAAGAAACAGTGCTCACCCGCTGACAGCATTTGCCCTCCATTGTCCCCCAAATAGCAGCTGTCCTCCATGGTCTCCTGGACCTTGTGTTTCTGGGCACTGAGGTTGAGTCTTGTTCTACCAGTCTGGAGGCCCCCCAAAGAAACCGTGCCACCCGCTGACAGCATTTGTCCTCCATTGTCCCCAAACAGCAGCTGTCCTCCATGGTCTCCTGGACCTTGTGTTTCTGGGCACTGAGGTTGAGTCTTGTTCTACCAGTTTGGAGGCCCCCCAAAGAAACCGTGCCCACCTTCCGCTGACATTTGTACTCCATTGTCCCCCAAACAGTAGCTGCCCTCCATGGTCTCCTGGACCATGTGTTTCTGGGCACTGAGGTTGAGTCTTGTTCTACCAGTCCAAAGGCCCCCCAAAGAAACAGTGCCCATCCCGCTGACAGCATTTGTCCTCTATTGTCCCCAAACAGCAGCTGTCCTCCATGGTCTCCTGGACCTTGTGTTTCTGAGCACTGAGGTTGAGTCTTGTTCTACCAGTTTGGAGGCCCCCCAAAGAAACCGTGAGCTGACATTTGTACTCCATTGTCCCCAAACAGTAGCTGCCCTCCATGGTCTCCTGGACCATGTGTTTTCTGGGCACTGAGGTTGAGTCTTGTTCTACCAGTTTGGAGGCCCCCCAAAGAAACCGTGCCCATCCGCTGACATTTGTACTCCATTGTCCCCAAACAGTAGCTGCCCTCCATGGTCTCCTGGACCATGTGTTTCTGGGCACTGAGGTTGAGTCTTGTTCTACCAGTCCAAAGGCCCCCCCAAAGAAACAGTGCCCATCCGCTGACAGCATTTGTCCTCTATTGTCCCCAAACAGCAGCTGTCCTCCATGGTCTCCTGGACCTTGTGTTTCTGAGCACTGAGGTTGAATCTTGCTCTACCAGTCCAAAGGTCCCCCCAAAGAAACTGTGCCCACCCGCTGACAGCAGTTGTCATCTACATTTCCCCTAATTCACACATTTCTGGGAACTGAAGCTGAATCTTGCTCTACAAGTCTGAAAGTCCCAAAGAAGCAGTGTCCATACTCTGGCAGCTGCTGCCCTCCACGGTCTCCTGGTCCCCACATTTCTGGACACAGAAGTTGAACCTTGCTCTATAAGTCCAGAGGTCTTCAAAGAAGCAGTGCCCAGACTCTGGCAGCAGCCGTTCTCCACTGTCTCCTGGTACCTACATGTCTGTCCACTAAGGTTGAATCTTGCTGTACCAGTTTGAAGCTCGCAAAGAAGCAGTGCCCACCTTCTGGCAGCAGCCGTTCTCTGTGGTCTCTTGGTCTGCACACTGAGGATGAATCTTGCTCTAACAATCTCAAAGTCCCAAGAAGCAACGCCCACCCTCTGACAACAGCCTTCCTCTGCAGTCTCCTGTTCCACATATTTCTGGGCACTGAGGTTGGAACTTGCCCTTCCAGTCCAGAAGTCTTCAAAAAACAGCACCCATTCTCTGACAGCAACCATCCTTCATGGTCTTCTGGTCCACACATTTCTGGGTGCTGAAGCTGAGTCTTGCTCCACTAGTCTGAAGGTCCCAAAGAGGCAGGGATCATCCTTTAACAGCAACCATTCTCTACGATCTAGTGGTCTGCACATTTCTGGCCACCGAGGTTGAATCTTACTCTACCAGCCAAGAGGTCTCCAAAGATGCAGTGTCTACCCTTTGACATCAGCCGTCCTTTGTGGTCTTTTGGTACGCAAATTTCTGGACAATGAAGATGCATCTTGCTCTACCTGCCTGGAGGTCATCAAAGAAGTAGTGCTTGCCCTCTAACAGCAGTAGTTCTCCATGATCTCCTGGTCTGCACATTTTTGCCCACTGAGGTTAAATCCTACTCCACCAGCCTGGAGGTCACAAAAGAAGCAGCACCCATCCTCTGTCAGCACCCGTCTTCTGCTGTCTCCAGAACTGCACGTTTCTGTCCACGGAAAGTTGAATCTTGCTCTACCAGCCCAGAGGTGTTCAAAGAAGCAGCATCCACCCTTAGACATCAGCCGTCCTTTGTGGTCTTCTGGTATGTACATTTCTGGATAATGAAGACGCTTCTTGCTCTCTTCAAAGAAGTAGTGCTCGCCCTCTAACAGCAGCCGTCCTTCGCGATCTCCTGGTCTGCACAGTTTTGGCCACTATGGTTGAATCTTGTTCCACCAGTCTGGAAATCTCCAAAGAAGCAGCACCCATCCTCTGACAGCAGCCGTCCTCTGGTGTCTCCTGGACTGCACATTTCTGGCCACTGAGGTTTAATCTTGCTCTACCAGCCCAGGGGTCTTCAAAGAAGCAGCGCCCATCCTCTGACAGCAGCTGTCCTCTGGTGTCTCCTGGACTGCACGTCTGGCCACTGAGCTTGAATCTTGTTCTACCATCCCAAAGGTCTTCAAAGAAGCAGTGCCCACCTTCTGACAGCAGAACTGTCATCTACACTTCCTCAATTCAAACATTTCTGGGTGCAGAAGCTCAATCTTGAACTACCAGTCTGGAACTCCCAAAGATGTAGCCCATTCTCCACGAGCAGCTGTCCTCCACGGTCTCCTGGACTGCAAATTTCTGGGTACTGAAGCCAGATCTTGCTCTACTAGTCTGAAGGTCCCAAAAAAGCAGTAACCACCCTCTGACAGCAGATGTCCCCTGCAGTCTCCTGGTCTACACATTTCTGGCCACTGAGGTTCAATCTTGCTCTACCGGTCAGAATGTCCCGAAAAAAGCGACAGTAGCTTTCCTCTGTTTTCCCCTGGCCTACACATTTCTGGCCACTGAGGTTCAATCTTGCTCTACCGGTCAGAATGTCCCGAAAAAGCAACGGTAGCTTTCCTCTGTTTTCCCCTGGTCTGCACATTTCTGGCCACTGAGGTTCAATCTTGCTCTACCGGTCAGAAAGTCCCGAAAAAGCAGTGACTACTCTCTAGACAGTAGCTTTCCTCTGTTTTCTGCTGGACTGCACATTTATGGTCACTGAGGTAGAATCTCTCTCTACCAGCTAAGAGGTCTTCAAAGAAGCAGCGCCCACCCTCTGAAAGCAGCCATCATCCCTAATCTGTACATTTCTGGCCACGAAATCTATTCAGCCTTACTCAGAACGCCTAGAACATAATAGCGGATCCCGTTGTCAGAAGATTGACACTACTTTTTGTGTGCGCCGAATGGTGACAGGTTCCCTAGACATCTATAACAAAGCTTGCTGTGTGCTTCACAAAAGGGATCAGTAAATATGGCTGCCACAGCTTGCCTGTCTTTTCATCACAGCGGTTAACGGGGGGCGGCAACTGCAGCCCATGACAAGAGATGTCGAATGTCACGCAGGACCAACATGACGACTGGTAACAAAACAGCTATTAAACAGCTCGGAGGCGAAGTGTGACAATGCCCCGAGGGAGGCGATAGATCCACACGGTTCTCTACACATGGTGGACAGGATGGAGAGACTGAAATAAAAAGTGTACCTGTCGTTTGTAGGCAGAAGAAGCACACGCCATCTTTTAAACCTGGCCAAGAACAAAATGTCCAGGTTGCTCACCCGTTTTTTCTTCAGTAAACTTTTCTGAAACTACTGCATGGCTATAAGGACATTGTTACTCCCATGGAGGACAACTCCGTGTTTTGTCCTCAAAGCCTACCCAGGGCCCCAGCAGCAGGAGATGATGGATGGCCTGTTTTACATGTATCTTTAGATCTATTTATTCGCTGAGAGGTGTACTGATAACTGAGACGGCGTTTCCCCTCCAATCGTTTCCACGCAGGCCGACTTCCATGGTGGTTTCCATTATTTTCGAGACAACATTCCAGGCTGTTCTCATGAATCATTCTGATAAGGAGAGCTGTAAATTATTTAAAGCACCGAGTGCACATGGCGGGTCCACACATCTCATAAAAGGCAGGAATGCCGGGGTGAAGGCAAAGCGGAGGGATAAAAAGCCGGTGGGGGGGCGGGGGGTGAAGGATAAAGTGAGAACATGCGATTTAGAGATTAAATGTTGTGCTTCGCGGAGATGCCAGTGATGTGAAAGGAGAGTCGATACAACGTAGAGACCAGAGATGTCTTACCGATATTCATGATGCTGTCCTTCTCTGGGCTGAAGAAGAGCCAATCGTAAAACAGAGCCAGCTTGGCGTTGGAGGCGGCCACGTTGGACTGGGAATAAAAACGGAGACATATGGATTAATGGTTTGGGGACTTTTATGGTTTTCTGAGATTTAGTGATGTCACTATGATCCTGTTTATGGTTCTCCTTGCTGGAGTGGAAGCTCTACCTGAGGACCTGCAGTGCTAGGGATCTTCCTGCCTGGTGGAATGGGGGTGAAAGGGTGAGGTCGAAGGAGGGAAGACGAGGGTGAAAGGGTGGGGTCGAAGAAGGGGAGACGCGGGTGAAAGGGTGGGGTCGAAGAAGGGGAGACGCGGGTGAAAAGGGTGGGGTCGAAGGAGGGGAGACGCGGGTGAAAGGGTGAGGTCGAAGGAGGGGAGACGCGGGTGAAAGGGTGGGGTCGAAGGAGGGGAGACGCGGGTGAAAGGGTGGGGTCGAAGGAGGGCAGACGCGGGTGAAAGGGTGGGGTCGAAGGAGGGCAGACGCGGGTGAAAGGGTGGGGTCGAAGGAGGTGAGACGGGGGTGAAAGGGTGAAGTCGAAGGAGGGGAGACGGGGGTGAAAGGGTGGGGATGAAGGAGGGGAGACGGGGGTGAAAGGGTGGGGATGAAGGAGGGGAGACGGGGGTGATAGGGTGGGGTAGGAGGAGAGATGGGGGTGAAAGGGTGGGGTGATGGGGATGAAAGGGTGGGGCTGAAGGAGGGGTGGGGGTCAAAGGGTGGGGATGAAGGAGGGGAGATGGTGGTGAAGGGTGGGGATGAAGGAGGGGAGATGGTGGTGAAGGGTGGGGATGAAAGGGTGGGGAGATGGTGGTGAAGGGGGGGGATGAAAGGGTGGGGAGATGGTGGTGAAGGGTGGGGATGAAAGGGTGGGGAGATGGTGGTGAAGGGTGGGGATGAAAGGGTGGGGAGATGGTGGTGAAGGGTGGGGATGAAAGGGTGGGGAGATGGTGGTGAAGGGTGGGGATGAAAGGGTGGGGAGATGGTGGTGAAGGGTGGGGATGAAAGGGTGGGGAGATGGTGGTGAAGGGTGGGGGTGAAAGGGTGGGGAGATGGTGGTGAAGGGTGGGGGGGTGAAAGGGTGGGGGTGAAGGGGATCAGGGGGGAGAGGGGATGAAGGAGGGGAGAGGGGGTGAAAGGGTGGGAATAAAGGAGGGGAGATGGGGGTGAAAGGGTGGAGTTGCTGAAGGGGGGATGAGGGTGAAAGGGTGGGGTTGATGAAGGTGGGATTGGGGTGAAAGGGTGGGTTTGAAGGAGGGGGGTGGGGGGTGGGGGGGATGGGGGTGAAAGGTTGGGTTTGAAGGAGGAGGGATGGGGGTGAGAGGGTATGTTTGAAGGCGGAGGGAAGGGGGTGGGGTTAAAGGAGAGGGGACAGGAGTGTCAGCTTACACATGGGGAAGCAAAGCCTTGCTCATCTACCAAGATGGCTGCCTCCACACAGAGACACCATGCTTTGTTCTGAAATACAAGTCAGTGAAAATGGAAATCCAAGCTACAGGTAATACTGGTGACAAGTCTTTTCCCACACGTGCCATTACTGGACAGTTTCCTTACTACAAGTCTTTTCCCACACGTGCCATTATTGGACAGTTTCCTTACTACAAGTCTTTTCCCACACGTGCCATTACTGGACAGTTTCCTTACTACAAGTCTTTTCCCACACGTGCCATTATTGGACAGTTTCCTTACTACAAGTCTTTTCCCACACGTGCCATTATTGGACAGTTTCCTTACTACAAGTCCTTTTCCCACACGTGCCATTATTGGACAGTTTCCTTACAAGTCTTGTTTTGTGAATAAACCATTAATGTACGCCAAAAGGATTCCCAGAGCACCATGGCTTAGAAAGACAAGAAAGCAGCTGCCCTTGTCTTTCGGAGTCTGATGGGGGAGGAGTCACTGCTCTGACATTTTCCAGCACCGGATCAGCAAAGACATTGCCCTAAATGTGAAGAGGGGCGATTCTGATGGTTTCCCATTGGCTGTTCTCTCAGTGTACTTACCGTGCAGGTGGTCAGGAGCCAGCCAATGATGGCCCAGCGAGGCAGGATATCCGAGCTCAGCACCTCGTTAGACGGGTGCACCACGCCGCATATGTAGCGAATCAGATCACAGCGCAGGGATTGGCTGTCCGGGGTGGAGAGGTACTGCCTCTGAAACCAGTCCTGATATCGCTTCTGCTGCCCAAACCGCACCTGGAAAAGAAAACATCAAGTGGACCCGTCATTACATACCGACTTCACCAAAATATCACGTCATTACTTCTGAGAGTCACGAGTCGCTGCTGGGAGGCTAGCAGTGCCTCATGGGACTTGTAGTTCAGCAACAGCTGGGGGGGCCAAGGACTGTCTTTCACAACCTTTGTGCAGCACCAATTGCAGAGCGATGGAATAGTGCTGTACACAAGGGTTTCTCAACCAGGGTGCCCCCCCGGGGGTGCCGCAAGCACAAGACTCAGTTTACCATGAATCAGGACGGATGAGGACTCTGCAATTCAGGGGGGACTCTAGACTCTGTGATGAGGACAGTCCTGAATCTGCGATGGGGCACTGTGATGTCATTGGGGGACTCTGACTTGTAGGGGAACCTCTAACATAATGGGGCCTTCTGATATGAAGTGTGGACCTCTGGTGTGAACGGGGTACTCGGATGTGATGGTGGGGGTTCTGATGTGATGTGGGGGGCCTCTGGTGAAGTGGGGGGTCTCTGGCGTGCAGGGGGGACTTCTAATGCGCAGGGAGGACCTCTGACCTGAAGGCGGGGACCGCTGATGTGAAGGGGAAATCTGACCAAAATGGGGGGCAGTCTGATGTGACGGGGGCTCTGACCTGAAGGAAGGACTTCAGAAGTGAAAGGGGGGACCTCTGACCTGAAGGGGGAACCTCTGACCTGAAGGGAGGACTTCTGAAGGGGGCGACCTCTGACCTGAAGGGGGGGGTCCTCTAATGTGAAGGGGGGACCTCTGACCTGAAGGGGGAACCTCTGACCTGAAGGGAGGACTTCTGAAGGGGGCGACCTCTGACCTGAAGGGGGGGGGGTCCTCTAATGTGAAGGGGAAATCTGACCAAAATGGGGGCAGTCTGATGTGAAGGGGCTCTGACTGAAGGAAGGACAAGAATGAAAGGGGGGGACCTCTGACCTGAAGGGGGCTCTGACCTGAAGGAAGGACTTCAGAAGTGGGGGGCGATCTCTGACCTGAAGGGGGGGTCCTCTAATGTGAAGGGGAGGACCTCTGACCTGAAGGGGGAACCTCTGACCTGAAGGGAATGGGGACACCTCTGATGTGAAGGGGCTCTGGCTGAAGTGAAGGGGGGGGTCCTCTAATGTGAAGGGAGGACTTCTGACCTGAAGGGGGAACCTCTGACCTGAAGGGAGGACTTCTGAAGGGGGGCGACCTCTGACCTGAAGGGGGGGGGTCCTCTAATGTGAAGGGGAAATCTGAACAAAATGGGGGCAGTCTGATGTGAAGGGGGCTCTGACATGAAAGGAAGGACTTCAGAAGTGAAGGGGGGACCTCTGACCTGAAGGGAGGACTTCTGAAGGGGGCGACCTCTGACCTGAAGGGGGGGTTCTCTAATGTGAAGTGGGGACTTCTAATGTGAAGACGAGACTTCTGATGTGAAGGGGAAATCTGATTAAAATGGGGGCAGTCTGATGTGAAGGGGGGTTCTAACCTGAAGGGAGGACATTGACTGAAGGGGGCGACCCTGACCTGAAGGGGGGGAAGGGGGTCCTATAATGTGAAGGGGGCAATCTGACCAAAATGGGGGTCAACCGCCGACCTGAAGGGGGCAACCCCCGACCTGAAGGGGGTGACCTCTGACCTGAAAAGGTGGGTCCTCTAATGTGAAGGGGAAAGCCTCTGACCAAAAGGGGGCAGCCTGATGTGAAGGGGGCAGCCTCCGACATGAAGGAGGAGCCTGAAGTGAAGGGGGGGACCTCCGAACATGAAGGGGGAGCCTGAATGGGGCGGCACCTCCGACCTGAAGGGGGGGGTCCTCCGATGTGCAGTGGGGAGCCTCCGATGTGAAGACGGCAACTTCTGACCTGAAGGGGGCAAATCTGATTAAAATGGGGGCAGTCTGATGTGAAGGGGGTTCTAACCCTGACCTGAAGGGGAACATCTGACCTGAAGGGGGCAACACTCTGACCTGAAGGGGGCAACCTCTGACCTGAAGGGGGCAACAGCTGACCTGAAGGGGGCAACACCTGACCTGAAGGGGGCAACACCTGACTTGAAGGGGGCAACCTCTGACCTGAAGGGGGCAACCCCCTGACCTGAAGGGGGCAACCCCTGACCTGAAGGGGGCAACCCTCTGACCTGAAGGGGGCAACCCTGACCTGAAGGGGGGGCTCAGGTTCCCCATTGAGGAGTATCATTTATGATCGCACATTGTAGACTGGAGGGGGGCGGGTCTCCAGATTTTGTGACTGAAGAAAGGCTGAGAAATGCTGCAGCACACGAATGTTTGTAACTTGACTTTAACGTTTCCTGAAAAAAAAAAAAAGAAAGCGGCGTGCGTGGAGGGGCGGGGCCCCCAGTACGGATCTCAGGCTTTGATGTCCAATTTGCACCTCACATCCAGAGAATCAGAGACGGCGGTGATTGTAGAACTTCCTCCGCCGCGTCTCACAAACAGCGGGACGCCCGGTTCTCAGACGCCGCATCTCGCTGCTACCGAAGCGCGGGAGAATCCAATCTGCCTTCTGTCAGACGGGACGCGGCAGTCACATGACATCTCGCCTGCAGAGTGGAGACGCAGCGCCAGTCCTCTTCATTTTCACCTCTCTCGGTTCCGGCCGCGGCGCTGCGCATTGTTCCGTGTGCGTTTTACAAATCAATGACAATTAGTCTCCTGCGCAGAGGTTCCGCTCCGGCGATTGGCAGACCCGGCGGACGGCTGAGGACTATATCTCTTCAATTGTATGACGGGTCCCGTCCACCGAAGTGTGTGCGCTCGGCTGCGACCGCGGGATAATTGGAGGGGAGATGTACAGAGCCGAGCATTGTGGGAAAACAAACACGGAAGAATGGAGACGAGGGGAGAGGAGGAGCGGGGGGGGGGGAGACGAGGGGAGAGGAGCGGAGGGGGGGAGACGAGGGGAGGGGAGGGGAGACGAGGGGGAGGGGAGACGAGGGGAGGGGAGACGAGGGGAGGGGAGACGAGGGAGGGGAGACGAGGGGGGAGGAGGGGAGGGAGACGAGGGAGAGGGGGGGAGGGGAGGGAGGGAGACGAGGGGAGGGGAGACGAGGGGAGGGGAGACGAGGGAAGAGGGGAGAGACGGGAGAGACGAGGGGAGGGGAGACGAGAAGGGGAGGGGAGACGAGGGGAGGGGAGACGAGGGGAGGGGAGACGAGGGGGAGGGGAGACGAGCGCCGGACGCACTTGGCGATTCTATGAGCTAACAAAATCTACCGCCCGCCGCTTCCTTCATCTGATGGTTCTGAGCGATCGAACAACTGAAAGTGCGGCAGTAACTGTTCAGACCCCTCCCCCCCGTGTCCGCAGTCTCCGGTCATCTCCTGTACTGTGTCCGCAGTCTCTGGTCATCTCCTGTACTATGTCCGCAGTCTCTGGTCATCTCCTGTACTATGTCTGCAGTCTCTGGTCATCTCCTGTACTATGTCCACAGTCTCCGGTCATCTCCTGTACTGTGTCCGCAGTCTCTGGTCATCTCCTGTACTATGTCCGCAGTCTCTGGTCATCTCCTGTACTATGTCCACAGTCTCTGGTCATCTCCTGTACTGTGTCCGCAGTCTCTGGTCATCTCCTGTACTGTGTCCGCAGTCTCTGGTCATCTCCTGTACTATGTCCGCAGTCTCTGGTCATCTCCTGTACTGTGTCCGCAGTCTCTGGTCATCTCCTGTACTATGTCCGCAGTCTCTGGTCATCTCCTGTACTATGTCCACAGTCTCTGGTCATCTCCTGTACTGTGTCCGCAGTCTCTGGTCATCTCCTGTACTGTGTCCGCAGTCTCTGGTCATCTCCTGTACTATGTCCTCAGTCTCTGGTCATCTCCTGTACTGTGTCCGCAGTCTCTGGTCATCCCTGTAACTGTGTCTGCAGTCTCTGGTCATCTCCTGTACTGTGTCCGCAGTCTCTGGTCATCTCCTGTACTGTGTCCGCAGTCTCTGGTCATCTCCTGTACTGTGTCCGCAGTCTCTGGTCATCCCTGTACTGTGTCCGCAGTCTCTGGTCATCTCCTGTACTGTGTCCGCAGTCTCTGGTCATCTCCTGTACTGTGTCCGCAGTCTCTGGTCATCTCCTGTACTGTGTCTGCAGTCTCTGGTCATCTGGTCCTCTGTACTATGTCCGCAGTCTCTGGTCATCTCCTGTACTGTGTCCGCAGTCTCTGGTCATCTCCTGTACTATGTCCTCAGTCTCTGGTCATCCCCTTGTACTATGTCTGCAGTCTCTGGTCATCCCCTGTACTGTGTCTGCAGTCTCTGGTCATCTCTTCTAATATGCTTGAAGTCTGACAGTCTTCTGTCACATACAGAATATTATGTGTGGCCCTTCATTGGGGCCACAGATGAGGCCCCCTACACCTTGTGGGTGGACAACCACAGAATCAGGCCCAGGGAAATCACAGACCAAGACTATCCCAGGAAGTTCTTATTTCAGACACTCAACTGTAAGTATCTGGATTCAGAGCACCTCACCTGTCCTGGTGCCCGATATGAATCCACCTACCCCGAGACGCCATGAACAGGAAGTACCTACCCGAGACGTCATGAACAGGAAAGTATGAACAGGAAGTACCTGCCCGAGACGTCATGAACAGGAAGTACCTACCCGAGACGCCATGAACAGGAAGTATGAACAGGAAGTACCTGCCCGAGACGTCATGAACAGGAAGTACCTACCCGAGACGCATGAACAGGAAGTATACCCGAGACAGGAAGTACCTGCCCGAGACGCCATGAACAGGAAGTACCTACCCGAGACGCATGAACAGGAAGTATGAACAGGAGTACCTACCCGAGACGCCATGAACAGGAAGTACCTACCCGAGACGCCATGAACAGGAAGTACCTACCCGAGACGCCATGAACACAAGTACCTGCCCGAGACGCATGAACACAGTACCTACCCGAGACGCCATGAACACAGTACCTACCCGAGACGCCATGAACAGGAAGTACCTACCCGAGACGTCATGAACAGAGTTGGTCTCCCGGGGGTCGCCATGAACACAGTACCTACCCGAGACGCCATGAACAGCTGAAGTACCTACCCGAGACGCCATGAACAGGAAATGTACCTACCCCGAGACGCTGTACATGAACAGCAGCTTCAGTCTGTATAGAGTCTCCAATGTCGGGGGAGTGTAAGCTCCTCTGGTACAGAGACTCAGGCTCGCAGGCAGGAACTTGCGGGAGGTGCGAGACTGCAACAGCTGAAGGATTCCTACAAAGGGGGGAGAAAAGGAAGAATTCTGAGGGAAATGATGTATATAGATCTGACACATACCGCAGCGCTGTACACAGATCACTGAGCCACTCCCATCAGTCTCCATACCAGAGGAGCTTACACTCTAATGTCCCCTCCCCTCCCTTAGAGTGTAAGCTCCTCTGGTACAGAGACTGATGGGACTGTGGGGGAGGGGACATTAGAGCGTAAGCTCCTCTGGTACAGAGACTGATGGGACTGTGGGGGAGGGGACATTAGAGTGTAAGCTCCTCTGGTACAGAGACTGATGGGACTTTGGGGAGGGAGGGGGGACATTTAGAGTGTAAGCTCCTAAGCTCCTCTGGGGGACAGAGACTGATGGGACTGTGGGGGGAGGGGACATTAGAGTGTAAGCTCCTCTGTACAGCTGATGGGACCTCTGTACAGGTACAGGGGAGACTCCTCTGACAGAGACTGATGGGACTGTGGGGGAGGGGACATTAGAGTGTGAAGCTCCTCTGTACGGAGACTGATGTGACTGTGGGGGAGGGGACATTAGAGCGTAAGGCGATTAGGGCCGCTCCCGATGAAAGCTCACAATAATCTCATTATGCTCCGGCTCGTCTGTAAGCAGTAATGAAGACCCTCGCAGCGCTCATCTCATACGTATACAGCGCTCCCCCCCGGACCCCCGACTCGCAGTGCGTGAAGCGGGGAGGGGGGGGGGGGGGGGTGCTGACACGCGGGAACTGGTGGATTGCTGAGAAGGGGGGCGGCGGATGATGTGAGCGCAGATATAAATAGATGTTCTGCAGCTCCAGGGCAGGAAGACGGCTAATTACAACCTGTGTGAGCAGGGGGGGGGGGGGTCCGGGGGGCACAATCAGCACATAGCCGCCCCCCCCCAGTGCACGCCTCATCAACAGCTGATGGAGCAGCGGGATCATTTCCACCAATCACAGGGCAGAGATGGTGGGGAGCGGGCGTCACCTGTCACAGCAAATGTTCTCCATGGTTGTCAGCCTCAGATCTGACCCCGGCGCTGCCAGGAAAACACTGCGCCACACGGGAGAGCGCGGGGCTGACGGAGAGCGCGGGGCTGACGGCGAGCGCGGGGCTGACGGAGAGCGCGGGGCTGACTGCGAGCCGGGGCTGACGGAGAGTGCGAGTGCGGGGCTGACGGCGAGCGCGGGGCTGACGGAGAGCGAGTGCGGGGCTGCGGGAGCGCGGGGCTGACGGCGAGAGCGCGGGGCTGACGGCGAGCGCGGGGCTGACGGCGAGCGGGGGGCTGACGGAGAGCGCGGGCTGACGGCGGGGGGGCTGACGGAGAGCGCGGGGCTGACGAGAGCGCGGGGCTGACGGCGAGCGCGGGGCTGACGGAGAGCGCGGGGCTGACGGAGAGCGCGGGGCTGACGGAGAGCGCGGGGCTGACGGAGAGCGCGGGGCTGACGAGCGCGGGGCTGACGGAGAGCGCGGGGCTGACGGAGAGCGCGGGGCTGACGGAGAGCGCGGGGCTGACGGAGAGAGCGCGGGGCTGACGGAGAGCGCGGAGCGCGGGGCTGACGGAGAGCGCGAGCGCGGGTCTGACGGAGAGTGCGAGCGCGGGGCTGACGGAGAGCGCGGGGCTGACGGAGAGCGCGGGGCTGACGGAGAGTGCGAGCGCGGGGCTGACGGAGAGCGCGGGGCTGACGAGAGCGCTGGGGAGCTGACGGAGAGCGCGGGGCTGACGGAGAGCGCGGGGCTGACGGAGAGCGTGACGAGCGCGGGGCTGACGGAGAGCGCGGGGCTGACGGAGAGCGAGCGGGGGCTGACGGAGAGCGCGAGCGCGGGGCTGACGGAGAACGCGCGAGCGCGGGGCTGACGGAGAGCGCGGGGCTGACGGAGAGCGCGGGGCTACGGAGAGCGCGGGGCTGACGGAGAGCGCGAGCGCGGGGCTGACGGAGAGCGCGAGCGCGGGGCTGACGGAGAGCGCGAGGGGGGCTGACGGAGAGCGCGAGCGCGGGGGCTGACGGAGAGCGCGGGGCTGAACGGAGAGGGGGGAGGCGGGGCTGACGGAGAGCGCGGGGCTGACGAGCGCGGGGCTGACGGAGAGCGGGGGCTGACGGAGCGCGGTGCGGGGCTGCGGGCGAGCGCGGGGCTGCGGCGAGCGCGGGGCTGCGGGCGAGCGCGGGGCTGCGGGCGAGCGCGGGGCTGACGGCGAGTACAGCCCCAACACGGTTCAGGGAGAGCAATACACGCCCTGAGCCTGCAACCAATGCAGAGAGAAGAGACCGCCCACCTTACACAATCTCACCCACTGCACAGCCGTCTCTTTTAAAAATACCACCCATCTTTTTTATAAGCTCCGCCCACCATAGAGCTTCCCTTTATAAGCTGCGCCCACCATAGAGCTTCTCTTTATAAGTTCCGCCCACCATAGAGCTCCTCCTTATAAGTACCGCCCCCATAGAGCTCCTCCTTATAAGTACCGCCCACCATAGAGCTTTTTATAAGCTCCGCCCACCATAGAGCTTCTCTTTATAAATATGGAGAGGACAAATGTCATGACCGAATATGGTGTCCCCACTGGGGAGATTTCCTTTCACTTCCTGTCCTGATGGCAGGGGTAATGTCACAAGACACAGGAAGTGACAGAGAGAGCAAAAGAATCACATTTAGAGTTACTTCCGGTCTCGGTGACACTCCGCAACCCCCTCCTTTAACACCCAGGTGTCACTAGAACAGGAGGAAGTGATGGGATCCCTCTGACAGAGACAGCAAGAGAATCACATTTAGAGTTCCTTCCTGTCTCGGTGACACCCCTTCCTTTCAGACCCAGGTGTCACTGGAACAGGAAGTGACGGGATCTCTCTGACAGACAACAGAATCACATTTAGAGTTACTTCCTGTCTTGGTGACAACTCGCACCCCCTGCTTTCACACCCTGGTGTCACTGGAACAGGAAGTGACGGGATCCCTCTGACAGACAGCAAGAGAATCACATTTAGAGTTCCTTCCTGCCTCGGTGACACACACACCCCCCCCTTCATGCCCTGGTGTCACTGGAACAGGAAGTGACGGGATCCCTCTGACAGACAACAGAATCACATTTAGATCTCCTTCCTGTCTCGGTGACACACACACCCCTCCTTTCACTCCCTGGTGTCACTGGAACAGGAAGTGGCTGGGATCCCTCTGACAGATACCTGGGTGTGAAAGCAGGGGGTGTCACCGAGACAGGAAAGGAACTCCAAATGTGAATCTGTTGCTGTCTCTGTCAGAGGAATCCCATCACTTCCTGTTTCCAGTGACACCAGGGTGTGAAAGGAGGGGGTGTGTGTGTCACCGAGACAGGAAGGAACTCCAAATGTGAATCTGTTGCTGTCTCGGTGACACACCCCTCCTTTTCACGCCCAGGTGTCCACTGGAACAGGAAGTGGGTGGGGTCGATCACCCTGCATGAGATTTCATTTCTCAGCTCCCTGGATTTCTGGCAGCCCGGGGGCTCATTCACACGAATGTTGATCTCTGAGGAGCGATCCGCATTTAGCTCGCTCCTCAGAAAGCATTTGACGAGCGGCGAGGTGGTGCTGAACGACACCCTCCCCCGCCTGCTTTAACCCCTCCCCCGATCCCTGCACTAGCACACGGCTCCAGAGCACCCCCTCTTCGCTTGAATGGGCTGCGATCGGCGGGCGAAAGCGAGAGAGGGTAAAAGCGCGGCTCAACGGCAGGGTTTTACCTCCCCCTCAGCTGGTAGTGTGAATGAGCCCTCAGCGAATAGGAGGAGCCCGTTGGTTGGGCTCACATACGATTCGCCGGGACGCTGGTTGTGTTTTTCTGGTTTCAGCACTTCCTGCTTTGATGTAAAAGAGTTGAAGACGGGGGGGGGGGAGGGGCACCTACCCGCTCTCGCAGCAGCATGATGCAGAAGTCCACTCCTTCTGTCGCAGAGTCAGCAGCTGCGGGGTCCCCGTGGTGGTCCACGATCAGTCGCAGGTAGGTGTACACCGACATGGCGATCAGGAGGCTGCTCTTCATCACCCACTCCCTGCAGGACAACACAAGGAGACGGTAAACCCCCAACCATCGCCCTTCAATGCGGAACTCCAGGGGCAGCTCGTCGCTCCGGCCGCCGGTGCCCGCGGCACTTACCTCCTTCACAGGACAACCTGTCACTGCAGCGGCTCAGGGCGCACCCTCCAGAGCGATTCTCATTGGTCGGAGCGGTCACGTGACTGATCGCCAAAGCCTCTCCGGGGGCTGGGCACTGCAGAAGATGGTCCAGGAGGAGGTAAGTGCAGCGGGGGTGGGGAGGGCACACCGGGTGCACCTTGCCGTGCCATGTGACCGGTAAGTCACCCCCTATCGCCCGTAATGGACGCGGTTCATATTGGGGCGATTCCAACGTGGGCGGAGCCACACAGATTTCTAAAGTAGTGCCGCGTCACTTGGGGTGCGACTTGCAGACGTCCATGGTGGTCACCGATCACCCCCCTCCGGTCCGGACACTTTCCCCCCCCTCCCGGTCCGGACACTTTCCCCCCCCTCCGGTCCGGACACTTTCCCCCCCCCCCCCTTCCAGTCCGGACACTTTCCCCCCCCCCCTTCCAGTCCGGACACTTTCCCCCCCCCATTCCAGTCCGACACTTCCCCCCCCCCCCATTCCTGGGTTTTCCAAGACACTTTCCCCCCCCTTCCAGTCCGGACACTTTTCACCCCTTCCAGTCCGGAACTTTCCCCCCTTCCAGTCGGACTCTTCCCCCCTTCCAGTCCGGACACTTTCCCCCCCTTCCAGTCCGGACACTTTCCCCCCCCCTTCCAGTCCGGACACTTTCCCCCCCTTCCAGTCCGGACACTTTCACCCCCTTCCCCGTCCGGACACTTTCCCCCCCCTTCCAGTCCGGACACTTTCCACCCTTCCAGTCCGGGACACTTTCCCCCCCTTCCAGTCCGGACACTTTCACCCCCCTTCCAGTCCGGACCACTTTCACCCCCTTCCAGTCCGGACACTTTCCCCCCCCCCTTCCAGTCCGGACACTTTCACCCCCCCTTCCAGTCCGGACACTGCCCCCCCCCCCCCCCTTCCAGTCCGGACACTTTCCCCCCTTCCAGTCCGGACACTTTCCCCCCTTCCAGTCCGGGACACTTTCCCCCTCTTCCAGTCCGGACACTTTCACCCCCTTTCCAGTCGGGACACTTTCCCCCCCTTCCAGTCCGGACACTTTCCCCCCTTCCAGTCGGACACTTCCCCCCCTTCCAGTCCCGGACACTTTCCCCCCCTTCCAGTCCGGACACTTTCCCCCCTTCCAGTCCGGACACTTCACCCCCTTCCAGTCCGGACACTTTCCCCCCCTTTCCAGTCCGGACACTTTCCCCCCTTCCAGTTTCGGACACTTTCACCCCTTCCAGTCCGGACACTTTCACCCCCTTCCAGTCCGGACACTTTCCACCCACCCTTTCCAGTTCGGACACTTTCACCCCCCTTCCAGTTCCGGACACTTTCATCCCCTTCCAGTTCGGACACTTTCATCCCCTTCCAGTTACGGACACTGCCCCCACCTTCCAGTCCGGACACTGGCACCCCCCTTCCAGTCCGGGTGCACTTTCCCCCTTCCAGTCCGGACACTTTCCCCCCTTCCAGTCCGGACACTTTCCCCCTTCCAGTCCGGACACTTTCCCCCTTCGCAGGTCCGGACACTTTCCCCCCCTTCCAGTCCGGACACTTTCCCCCCCTTCCAGTCCGGGACACTTTCCCCCCTTCCAGTCCGGACAACTTTCCCCCTTCCAGTCCGGACACTTTCCCCCCTTCCAGTCCGGACACTTTCCCCACCCCCAGTCCGGACACACTTTCCCCCCTTCCAGTCCGGACACTTTCCCCCCTTCCAGTCCGGACACTTTCACCCCCTTCCCAGTCCGGGACAGCTTTCACCCCCTTCCAGTACCCGGACACTTTCCCCCCTACCCCCTTCTAGTCCGACACTTTTCCCCCTCTCCAGTCCGGACACTTTCACCCCCTTCCAGTTTCCGGACACTTTCCCCCCTTCCAGTCCGGACACTTTCACCCCCTTCTCAGTCCCGGACACTTTCCCCCCCTTTTCCAGTCCGGACACTTTCACCCCCTTCCAGTCCGGACACTTTCACCCCCCTTCCAGTCCGGACACTGCCCCCCCCCCTTCCAGTTCGGACACTTGGCCCCCCACCCTTTCCAGTCGGACACTGCCCCCCCCCACCCCTTCCAGTGCCGGGAACTTTCCCCCTTCCAGTCGGACACTTTCCCCTCTTCCAGTGCCGGACACTTTCACCCCCCCTTCCAGTCCAGGACAACTTTCCCCCCCTTCCAGTCCGGACACTTTCACCCCCTTCCAGTCCGGACACTTTCACCCCCTTCCAGTCCCGGACACTTTCACCCCCTTTCCTAGTTTCGGACACTTTCACCCCCTTCCCAGTTCGGGACACTTTCACCCCCTTCCAGTTCGGACACTTTCATCCCCTTCCAGTTCGGTACATTTCATCCCCTTCCAGTCGGACACTGCCCCCCCCCTTCCAGTCCGGACATGCCCCCCCCCTTCCAGTCCGGACACTTTCCCCCCTTCCCAGTCCGGACACTTTCCCCCCCTTCCCAGTCCGGACACTTTCCCCCCTTCCAGTCCGGACTGCTTTCCCCCCCCTTCCAGTCGGAATCACTTTCCCCCCCCTTCCAGTCCGGACGCTTTTCCCCCCCTTCCAGTTTCCGGACACTTTCACCCCCCCTTCCCCCCCCCCCTTAGGCCAATGTTCATAGCTTTCAGCGCTGTCCACACTTTGAATGAAAATTGCTAGCGATGGTCCTCCGCTCCATAGCAAACACTGTACCTAGATGAATGTTTTAGCACTTTATTTGATACAATACAACTTTAATTTGGTTGTATTTATTTACCACTGCGATTTTAAATTTTTTTTTTTTTGCTATAAAAAGAAAAAAGACAAACATTTTGAAAAAAAAAAAAGTGATTTTCTTATAAAATTTTCAGCCTTTCAGCACTGTCACACTTCTGAATGACAATTGCGCAGGCCATCATGCAACACTTCACCACACAGATGAATTATAACGAGCATTTTTTTTGAGACAGATAAAACATTCAGCGCCCATTTGGTTGCATTTAATTCCCCACCCGCTGGTATTTTTATTTTTTTTGCTACCCATATAATTAAAAAATCGTGAAAAAAAAAAAGGTGTTGCCTCGACTTATAAAATTATTATGGCAAATAAATAATAGGGCGCTTCACATCAAAATTCTCGGCCAAAATTTATTTCACTTGTTATTTTTTTTTAGTAATAAAAAAAAACACCAAAGCCTAGTTTATCCTAACCAAAAAAATATAATTTACAAAATTTTTTTTTACATTATTTTTATTATATTTATTTTTTTTTTATTTTTCCTACATACCGTCACCACCAGCAGTATCAGCGTACAGTTTAAATGGAACGTCAACCCGCCCCCTGCACTGCCACCGTCCGGACCGTTATATGTACATGTGGACGGACAGCCATGGGGTTAAATCGTTCATATCGGTGCGAATTCCGAGTGGGCGGAGCCGCGACGATTTCCAAAGCTTTTTTTAGTGCGTCGCGCCACTTCGGGTGGCAACTTGCATCTGTGTCTCGCAAGCCGCACCTCAAGTTCGGAAAACGAACACCCGACTGTGAAAATACCTTGCGACTTCCACCGGAACCATTTTCTAAGTCGGATTTGGTGCGAGGGCTTCTCCGGGTCATCACTTATTATAGGTGGGCAATTGTTCAAAAAGAAAAAATGTTCTCATACTACAACTGTATGAGCCAATGAAACAGTACTAAACCTGTCTTCACACACTGCCATCTACTGGCTGAAATGTGAGGACCTTAGCAAGCCAAATTTTTAATTTTTTCTTTTCAATACTATAACTGTGAGGAGTCAGATGACCAGTACTTTAAAACTGTCTACAGACTGCCATCTACAGGCTAGTGATAACCATAACAAGCCAATTTGTATATTTTTTTTTTCAATACTATCAACTGTATGAAGCTCAATGACAGTACATATTACTGGTCTATCACACTGCCATTCTAACTGGCTGTTACTGACCTTAGGCAAGCCATTTTTTTGTTTTGGAAAAAAACAAATTTTTTTTCATACTACAAAATGTTATGGAGCCAATGACAGTACTAAACTGTCTACACACTGCCATCTACTGGCTGTGATGACCTTAGCAAAGCCAATTTTTAATTTGTTTTTTTTCAATACAATAAATCTGTTATGAGTCAAAATGACAGTTACTAAAACTGACTACAGACTGCCATATACAGGCTGTGAAAAAAATAACCTAAACAAGCCAATTTTAATATATTTTTTTTCATACTATAACTGTATGAGCCAATTGACAGTACTAAACTGTCACTACTGACTCGACCATCTACTGTGCTGTTAATGACCCTATAGCAAGCCATTTTTTTGTTTTGGAAAAAACATAGTTTTTTCATTATACTACAATTGATATGAGCCAATGAACAAGTACTCAACAACTGTCTACACACTGCCTTCTAACTGGCTGTGAGGACCTTAGCAAGCCAATGTTTAAGTATTTTTCAAGTACTATAACTGTATGAGCCAATGACAGTAACTATACCTGTCTACACACTGCCATCTACAGGCTGTGATAACCTGTAACAAGCCAAATTTTTATATATTTTTTTCATCCTATAACTGTATGAGCCTAATGACTGTACATAAACTGTCTACACACTGCCCATCTACTGGCTGTAATGACCTTAGCAAAGCCATTATTTTGTTTTTGGAAAAAAATTTTCTTTCATACTACAAATGTATTGAGCCAATGACAGTACTAAACAGTCGGACACACTGCCATTTACTGGCTGTGAGGACCTTAGAGCAAGCCAATGCAATTATTTTTTTTTTTTTCATACTATAAACTGTTATGAGCCAATGTACAGTACTAAACTGTCTGCACACTGCCATCTACTGAGCTAACGATGACCTTTAGCAAAGCCAATTTTTTTTTTTTTTTTTTTTAAAAGAACCCTATCATTCTTGTTTGTGATCACTAGCTGACAGTTGACCACATGATCAAGCAACCACTCTGAACTGGTTCCCCACCATTAGCAGGGGGCAGAAGCGCCAGCTAGGAAAGGGGAAGGAGGGGTCTGAGAGGTATCCCCCAGCATGGAGCATTGTCCCTAAGTGAATGGATATCTTGAGTGCTGCTGCGGGGATGGGTGTTAAGGAGTGCAGTTTGTTGATTGTCTGCCGTACGAGCTCCTAGGAGCCGGTAATTGCAGTGTATTTAGGGCCCCTGATGTGAAGAGCCCCAGAGCTGTGAGCACAACAGGACCGGACTCTCCCCGACCATAACCGGCCTGGAAGCGCAGCGAATAGTTGTGAAAAACTATTTCCTGGGACGTCTGCGGCTGCTAAACAAAACAGAATTATGAACTTAACCTTCCAAAACACAAACGATGTATACCCGCTAGGTCTATTTCTGAATTGGAGATGAGGAGGAGAGTCAGCGAAGAACGCAGGCTGGCGCGCCCCACTCCAGGTGACCGACGCTGGGATAAAAGCTGAAACTCCACTAATGAGAATTTATGCAAATCCACCGTTCACCTAGGAGAGCAGTGACCATCATCTGAGAAGGCAGCCTATCCAATTCACTAGTGAGTCCAGTGCACATCACTGAGAATGCAGCCTAACCATTCACTATAGAGCAGAGACAACACTGAGAATGCAGCCTATGCATTCCTAGAGAGAGCCGGTGACATCACAGGAATGCACAGCCTAACCTATTTCACTAGAGAGCGGTGACATACACTGAGAATGCAGCCTATCCATTCACAAGAGATGCTGAGCAACACAGAGAGAAAGCAGTCCTATTCCATTTCACTAGTGAGTCGGTGGACATCACAGCGAATGCAGCCATTCTGTTCACCAAGAAGCGAAATGACATTCACTGAGATGAGCTATCCATTCCACTAGAGAGACGGTGACATCACGAGAAAGCAGCCTATCCATCAACAGAGAGCGGTGACAATCACCAAATTGCCGCCTATCCCTACACTAGAGAGCGGTGACATCACTGAGAATGCGCCTAATCCATTCACTAGAGATCGGTGACATCACCAAAATTGCAGCCTATCCATTCACAAGAAGCGTGACATCACCAAAATTGCAGCCTATCCCATTCTCTAAATAGTCGGTGACATCACTGAGAATGCAGCCTATCCATTCATAGAGAGCGCTGCATCCCCGAGATGCAGCCAATCCGTTCACTAGAGAGTCGTGACCATCACCGAGAATGCAGCCTAACCTTCACTAGAGAGCTGTGACAATCACCAAAAAATGCAGCCTATCCTATTCACTAGAGAGCGCGGGACATCACCGAGATGCAGCCTATCCATTCACTAGAGAGCGATGAAAACACCGAGAATGCAGAGCCTATATCCATTCACTAGAGAGCGGTGACAATCACTGAGAATTGGCAGCCTATCCCATTCACTAGAGAGCCGGTGACATCACTGGAAATGCAGCCTATCCATTCAACTAGGAGTGCGGTGACATCACCAAAATTGCAGCCTCTCCATTCTCTAAAGAGCGGTGACCATCACTGAGAATGCAGCCTATCCATTTCACTAGAGAACGATGACTTCACCAGAGATTGCAGCCAATCCATTCACTAGAGAGCGATTGATATCACCGAGAATGCAGCCTATCCTTCACTAGAGAGCGGTGACATCACCGAGAAAGCAGCAATCCGTCACACTAGAGAGTCGGTGACATCACCCAAAAATGCGACGGCCTATCCATTCACTAGAGAGCGGTGACAACACTGAGAATCAGCCAATCCGTATCACTAGAGAGCGATGACATCACAGAGAATGCAGCAGCCGATTCACAAGAGAGCAGATGACATCACCAGGAGACGCACCGCTTGAAGGCACTATTCCCTGTAGGGAGGGCCTGTTGTCAGGAGACTTAGACCTCTGCACCATCAGGATGATCCTGCACACTCTCAGACAGCCAGATATTCTTGGAGGAATGTCCGCCCCCCTGTAGACATGGAGAAGAGAAGACACTCAGAACGTCATTTCCTGAAGACCATGAAGCAGGTCATAAATACATTGTACACTAGTGCGGTCCCCGGCACAGATCTGCCCAGATATTCTCCCCGGCAACAGATCTCCATGATATTCTCCCGGCAACAGATTCTGCCATGATATTCTCCCGGCAACAGATCTGCCCATGATATTCTCCCGGCAACAGATCGCCATGATATTCTCACTCGGCAACAATCTTCCATGATATACTCCCAGGCACATGATCCCCACCGACTCGCCCCCCCCCCCCCCCCCCCCCCAACCTCCCACCCCCACCCTCCCACCCCCTCCCCCCCCCCCCCCCCCCCCCACCCCCCACCCCCCCCGCTCCCCCCCCACATGGCCCCAGTGGCGATTGGCGTTGACACCACGCCTTTAGACCCCCACCCCCCATACCGACCGTGGCCAATCCCGTGAGCAATTCTTCCCGCTCACAACCCTCAACCCGAGCCTCCGCCCCACCCACCCACGTTAGGTCGCTGATGGATCCGCTATCCAACCCCCAACACACCCCCCACCCTCCCCCCGCTGGCACAACAGCGCTATCTGGAGGGATCCCGGCCCACAGCGCCACCATGTGCCCATCCCTATACATTCCCTGACTCCCCATCACCCAGGGCCCCCCCGTCGCCATCCCCCACCCCCGCCCACACGCACGACGCCCTGCCACCTGCCCCCCAGCCCCCCGCTACCCTCTCCATCTGTGGCTGCCTGCCACCTCACCCCCCTTACCACCCCTTCCCCCACGATTGACAAACCCGCCACCCGGCGCACCCCCCCAACCTCCCCCGCCCATCCCTTACCTCCCCCCACCGCCCCCCTACCCACACCCCACGCACCTGCTAACCTCCAAGTGGGGGGATGAGCCCCGCCCACACTCCACCCCGTTCCCCCTACCCCTCCACCCACGTCCCGCCCCCCCACCACCCCCCCCCCCCCGTAAACTCCCCCCCCCCGATCCTCGTCATCCTTCGAATCCCGGTCATACAACCCACCCACCAAGGCCCCCCTACCGATGACCCACCGCCCGCGCTACCCCCCCCCCACTCGCCCCCCTTCCATCCCTCCTCCCAACCCACCCATGAACACCCCACCTGGGTTTGAGCGTTGTCTCCGGCCCTTCTGGACCCCCCACTCCCCCCACCCCCCCGGACGCCCGCCGAACCACTCCCTCATCTCCCCCCCTTCCCCCAGCCCCCCGCCCCCTACCCGGTCCCAACCCCAGCACACCTCCCCCACCCCAACCCGCACCCCGCCCCTAGCAGTCCCCATTCCCCCACGTCCCCCACCCCCCCCACCCCCTCCTGAGCCATCCTCACTGCCTTAAAGAACCGCGCCCACTATCCCGAATGATGAAATTTGTTTTAGTCCCACCTAACCTGGGTACCCCCCCCTTTAAATCGATGACCCCCCCCGTAGCAAAACCCCCCTACCCCCCCACATTCCACCAGCATCCAGAACCCCACCCCTCCTCTCAGGTCCCCGCCGCCCCCCACCACCCCCAACCGCCCCCCCCCCACCCCCCCTACCCTACCGCCCCCCACGTCCCCCGCCACTAAATGCCAACCCCCCCCCCCCCCCCCAATAGTCCCATACCTCACTTATTACCCTTCCCCGCCAAAATCCACCACCCCCTACCCACCCTCCCCACAACCTACCACCCCCACGCCCCAGTCACCCCCACATCCCCCCACCGCCCACCCTTCTAACACAACACCCTCGCCGATGCCAAGCGAACCTTATCGAAGCCCCCACCCACCTCCTGCCCTCTGCCAATTACCTACCAAACATAGCCCCCACCTGCCCCAACCCACCCCATCACCCTCCCCCCTTGCCATGCACCCCCACCCCCGCTCAACCCCCCCCCACCTTCCCCCCATCTCAAAAATAATATAACCCCCAAAAAAAAGATCAAAACACCCACCCACGCATACTGACCCACCCCCCCACAACCCCCCACTCCCCCCAAATCCTCCCGAAACTAAATCCACCCAAACCCCTCCAAATGTTAAGCACCACCACAAACCCCCCACCACCCCCCAAACCCCCACCCACCCCCCTCCCAAAACCACCCACCCCAACCCTCACTGCTGCAACCCACAAAACCCACCAACCAACCACCACCCCCATACACAAACAAACACCATCCCCCCATCCAGAAAAGTGGGAGGAGACTTTTTTAGGAAAAGGAAAAGGGTTTAAACCCAATTGGGGCCACCTGAAAACCCTAAAAAAGGGGGAGGGACTTTATAAAAAAAAACAGGGTTTCCCCAACGTGAACCACCTGAGGAATGCCAAGAAATGGGAGGAGCCCTTAAAAAAAAAGGGGAAATTTACCCAACGTGAAGCCACCTGAGAAATCCCAAAAAAAGGGGGAGGAAAACTTTATAAAAAGGGAAACCGGGTTTCCCCAACGTGAACCACCTGGGGAAATCCTGAGAAAGTGGGAGGAGACGTTATAAAAAAAGGGCAAGGTTACCCAACGTGAACCACCTGAAAAACCCTTTGAAAAGGGGGAGGAAAATTTTATAAAAAAAGGAAAACTTTTCCCAACGTGAAGCCCCCCTGAAAAACACAAGAAAGGGGAAGGAGACTTTTAAAAAAAGGAAAAAGTTACTCAACTGAAGCCCCCCTAGAAATCATGAAAAAAAGGGGGAGGAAAACTTTAAAAAAAAAGGGACAATTTTAACTCAACGGAAGCCACCTGGAAATCACAAGAAAGTGGGGGGAAACTTTATAGAAAAAGGAAAAGGGTTACTAAAACGGAAGCCACCTGAAAATTTCCAGAAAGTGGGAGGAGATTTTAATAAAAAAAGGACAAGGTTACTCAACGTGAAGCCACCGAGAAATCAAAAAGAAGGGAGGAGACTTTATTAAAAAAAGGGAAAAGGGTTACCCAACTGAAGCACCCGGGAGAAACCCTGAGAAAGGGGGAAAAAAACTTTATAAAAAAAGGACCCCTTTTTCCCCAAAAACTGAATTTCCCCGAGAAATCAGAGAAAGTGAGAGGAGACTTTATAGAAAAGGACAAGGTTACTCAACGGAAGCCACCTGAGAAATCCCAAGAAAGTGGGAGGAGACTTTATAGAAAAAGGAAAAGGTTCCCCAACGTGAAGCCACCTGAGAAATCCTGAGAAATGGGAGGAGACTTTTATAGAAAAGGGCAAGGTTACCAACGTGAAGCCACCTGAGAAATGCCAAGAAAGTGGGAGGAACTTTATAGGAAAAGGACAAGTTTACTCAACGTGAAGCCACCTGAGAAGTCACGAGAAAGTGGGAGGAAAACGTTATAGAGAAAGGACAAGGTTACTCATCGTGAAGCCCCCTGAGTGTTCTCTAACACCCAAGGGTGAAATGTGGCCTCATCTTTATCTAGCGGCACCCTTGGGTGCTTGGGGAGCTCATTCCAGCACTACCAGTAGGTAAACCTTCACTCCACCATAAACACACCCAGAAGAGAATTCATTGATCGATATTTGTATGACATCTCTTCTGCCCACCCCTCAGTCCAGCTCTGTCTGTTGGTAGACATTTCACTGCTCATGAAGATGGGTACACTTTCACCCTTGGGGGCTTAGGGAGTTCGTTCTGGCACGGCCGGTAGATAAAAAGGGGTACACTTTCACCTTGGGTGCTTAGGGAATTTTTTCTGGCACTCCCGGGTGGGTTTAAAAAAGGCACACTTTAAACCCTTGGGTGCTTAGGGAACTTGTTCTCGCACTGCCGGTAGGTAAATCTTCACTCGACCATAGAACCATCCAGAAGAGAATTCATAGACAGCCGTATGTATGGCACCTTTCAGCCCACCCCTCAGTCCAGCTCTGTCTATTGTAGACATTTCACTGCTCATGAAGATGGGGCACACTGTCACCCTTGGGTGCTTAGGGAACTTGTTCAGGCACTGTCGGTAAATACATTTGCACCTTACCATAGAACGCATCCAGGGAGAATTCATAGACAGCCATTTGTATGGCACCTTCTTCTGCCCACCCCTCAGTCCAGCTCTGTCTGTTGGTAGGCAGTTCACTGTTCAGGAGGATGGGGCACACTTTTCCCTTGGGTGCTTAGGGAGTCTGTTCTGGCACTGCTGGTAGGTAAAGATGGGGCACACTGTCACCCTTGGGTGCTTAGGGAACTTGTTCTGGCACTGCTGGTAGGTAAGTCTTCACTCTACCAATAAAATGCATCCAGAGGAGAATTCATAGGCAGCCATTTGTATGACACCTTTTCAGCCCACCCCTCAGTCCAGCTCCGTCCATCATGAAGATGGGGCACACTTGCACCCTTGGGTCCCTTAGGGAGCTCGTTCCAGCACTGCTGGTAAATACATTGCACCAGACCATAGAATGCATCCAGAAGAGAATTCAGAACAGCCGTATGTATGGCACCTCTTCTGGCCCACCCCTCAATCCAGGTCTGTCTTTTGGTAGACAGTTGACTGCTCATGAAGACGGGCACACTGTCACCCTTGGGTGCTTAGGGAGCTCGTTCTATGCACCGTACCACAGAACGCATCCAGAAGAAGAATTCACAGACTACCATTTGTATACACCTCTTTGCCCACCCCTCAGTCCAGCTCTGTCTATTGGTAGACAGTTGACTGCTCATGAAGACGGGGCACATTTCCCCCCCTGGGTGTTTAGGGAGCTCTTTC